TTGTTCTGATTTCACGCATACGTACACTGTCCACGCGCACCGGACAATCTCGGCGGGTGTGGGTGTTAGCAATTAATCACCAGTATTTTTGAAAATGCTACCACTTGCCTGGCTTCCTTTTTCTTGCCCTGGTATGTGTTCGCCAACTTTTCGATCCAGGATCCAGCGGCTTGCCTTTTGCACGGCCCCAGAAAACGACAAGGTTTCCTTTTCCTTTGCAAATGGATGTTCAGGCAGCACTAGAAACGATTTCGTTTGGTGCTTTTTGCATTCACTGACCAAACTGTGTTAGCCTCGAAATCAACCTGACTCTCTAGTAAATGAAAACGTCAGTTGAGAAAAGAGGGACTGGAGGTGCGGTGGCTTAGGTGGTATATTCAGTGGCGTGCAGCAACCTGTTTACATGAAGAAATCAATAAAAAACGGTTGGTGGAATAAAGACGGACAATTTTACTCTAGAGTGGGAGGTAACGATTATTTGCGTTCTTTGTTGTCCCAGTGTACACCTGGGGAGTTTGGAGTCTCCATCTGGGCAAGCCACTTTTCACGTAAAATACCCAGCTTGTGTTTTGTAATGCTTGAACTGACTGTGTCCTAATTAGATGGATGTAGCGGCAGAGGACCAGAGAAATGGTTTTAACTGATCACTCCTCAAATTAGTTCTCAACAACTTCCTCGCTCGGCATCAAACTAGTTTACCTGCTGGTATTAAGCAGGTAGTTGTGATTTTCAATCTGTAGTGGTGCATGCTATGAATCATATTGTTGGGAAGGTGGCAGAAACCAGCATCCATGATGTGCGTCTGGAAAGGCACTTTATGCGTTCAAACTCGCGACGACACTACTTGGTGAGACTCGGAATTCATTCGTAAAGGTCTAAACTGTTGTAGTGGAAAATTTATGCCATGTAGCAGAAAAAAAAAATCATTGAGCACGGCCATTCACATACGACTTGTGTAAAGCAGACTTACGTGTAGGCGCTGCACGGTGAAAAAATATCCCAAGAACATGGGGCCTGTTGTTCGTTGAACACAGGACTACAAAATAAACCCAGGGTGTAGGGGCTGTGTTTGAGAAGCAACAGTTAGAAAAACCAGGGAGAGGCCAGGCCAATGGCAATTTCTTTACTTGCGATCTACCAAGAATGTAGCATAATTCAAGAGTCCCTGGAAATCACGTGGCACGCAGGGTAGAGGTCTCTTTTAGAACGAAAATCATCAGAGCTTCGCCTTCGTGACCGTTAAAACGGGTTAGAGCCCTTTGTAAGGGAGGACTTGCCGTTTTAGGTAGCCATCAGAACGTTTATTATTTTTGTGTTAGGTCCTACGTTGTGTTCAAGTTTGGATGTCTGATCGAAGTGCAGTTAACTGCGAAATTTGGTCAGTAGCGCTTCAAGAGGCCATGTGGTAGTGTTAGTCTATTTCGACTAATGTAAAGGGCTTTCTTAAACACCACTCATATATGACTGGACCCGTTTCCCATTGTGTGGGCTCTTCCTGTTAGCTTCACACGTTTACCCACCGTGCAAAGAGGAGCTGGGCTGTTCTTCCATGTCCTTTTCTTCACTGGTGCCTGCAACCTTGTTTTTTTATGACCAAGTGTTCTTCCACAATCTGCCCAGAACATGGCATTTTATGAAACCTCTGTCAAAAGAAGGTGTTATTTCAATGGATTTTTGAATATGATGTCAAGATAGGCTGATGAAATGTCCACGTTAGTAATTGTGTTGGGTTACGGAATAAGACAAAATGTGCCACACCACATTCACAAACACTTACTTCTGAGCTTAAAACTTAGCATTTTGACTATCTTTTGACAGTGGGTTAAGGGGGGGCCGGGCTTGTCCAGTTGCTTTGCAGTCTTCTTGAAGGTAAGGTTCGGTTTGTGTTTGGTCTTAATGGTTTAACTCAATGCTGTCTTCATGTTGCTTTTGACAACGAAACTCGCACGCTCTTGCGCTTGGCGCCTCGCGCGCCCAGACGTGACATGCACAGGCCGTCCAATGACAGACTTGGTGGCCGTTTTGGCGAGGCCTAGGCGCCTGACAAGGTTTTTTTCGGTCTGTGAAGCAGGCAAAATTCCGTTTTCTCATATTTGATTAGCCGATAGCTTTAGTCATCAATGGAATAGGCGTGGTGTAGTTTTAAGCATTCTTAATGACAGTTTCGTTGTTTTGTTTTAAATATTCCCTCAGATCTGTGCAGAAGTTGACGCCGCAACTTCACAATTGTTAAATTGCCGGCGGGTGGAATGGAAACTCCGCAAAAAGGCCTTCCTTCTCTACAGACAGACTTGTCAGGCTCTGACCACTGGCAACACCTCTAAACCACCGACCGTAGGCGCCGGCGGTGGAGGTGTCGGTGGTGGTGGAGGCAATGAATCGGTAAACAAGACTCGTACTTTGCTTTTGCGAAAACGTCTACCCGATAGGACTTCCTCAACTTCGTCGGCTTTGAATAAAACCTTAAGGCGGAGCGCCACTCTGTCTACTTCTCATCCGGCCACAGAACTCGAAGCGGTGGACAGTCCTGTTGCCAAGCTTGCAGAACACCCTGCTCTCCCCTCAAAGGTGTGCGTCTGTGCAGTATCCAGTGGCCTTCTTCCCTGAACACAACTCCAAATAAACAAAGTTATTTTCTTCGTATCTTACTAGTAGGACGTCTCTCCACTGGAGAGCTTGTCTTCAGTTGAAATCTAGGTCGAACTAGCTGATCTAATTAGCTGTTTAAATCAGACAATATGCTCAAACACCATTTTTGCTCGAATTCATTGAGGTTGACTTATTAACTTGAAATTAACGGTTAATTAACATTGTGATGTAACGTTTCGAGCTTTCGTCACTTCGTAATGAATTTTCTTGATGCCATGTTTCATCATTGTGTTTGTAACCGGCATGTGTTCTACTCTCGCGAACTTGTGTTGTCTAGTTCACTGCTACCACGGAGTTGAGCCTTTTGGCCCTATGCTTTACTGATGCCTGGCTTCCCTCTGTGCGATCCCACGGAACTCACTTTATGTTGAAACAGTGGTGTAATTGACAATCTTCGTTATTGTTTTTTTTGTCCTGCCTTTTTTGCAAGATTGCAATGTCTACCTAAAGTTCATAATCGATCATTATTTTTAAATGAACAAGGAGTCTATGTTCCAAGACAGTTGGTCTGAGGCCGTGTTGAGAATGCCAGCTAGAAGGGGTCGAGGATTCGAGTTGTGTTGATCACTGTCCAAACGCCGATGTATTTATGCTTGCTCTTCTGGCCGCTGTTAGCATTGTGGGAATTCCTTTGGTGTTTCTGTAACGTCCGTAGCCTCTTTCAACCTAATGCAGTTAGAGCACTCTTACTCATCGTCGTAGCTGTTTGTCCCATTCTGTTAGCGCTCTGCTTCCTCGTTCGCAGTGGCAGTTTTTCCGCATGCTTGCAAGATATTCTGCCATAAAATTGTCGCCGTACACGGAAAGTTTTGGCTAGGTGTCAGCCTGTTTTTTTTTCCGGTTCTTATCAGCCCCCATTCGACAATGCATTGTGCACTGTCAGGCGAATTGCGTTCTGACAGGTGTTTGTTCTGATGGAACTAGGCAAAATCCTGATGAAAAAAAGTAGCACCTGTCCTTGGGTGCTTGTTTCTCCCTTTAACTAGAAGTTTGAGGTTTAAAATAAAGTTACAAGTCAGCGCTTCACGCTTTTGCATTGTGTGCTTTTCAAAAAAGTGTGACCAAGCTCTGCCGTGTGTTTTTTTTTCTCTAGCTGATGTTCATGCCTTGCCATTCAGAATAAACGGCAGCCTCGCAAGTACAACTATCGTTTCCTTTTTACTATGCCTCTTCAGTGGACGTGCTCCCCCTAACATGACATCGTTACCAGTCTCGTGAAAACCGCTGTTTTAACCCTTACTTTTCTTGTGGATACTAGTTCCTCTGAGAAGAAATTTGGCCGGTGGAGAAAATCGATCCCCTCCCAAGTCTTGGAACATAGTTGAAGGGGTGGAACTCCTACCAAACATTATAATTATTTAAATCTGATTTCATGTACCTCGCCGCATTGCTTGTGTTATATTAACATGTATCAATCATTTAACGTAAAATTTCAAGTTTGAACAATTTACCCTTCCTATATGGCAACAAAGTGTTCCTTGATGAATCTACTTACATCACTCAATGAAGAACTACCAGTTGTCCATTACCACTCACAGACGATTTTGAAAGTTGTATTTCTGAGGTGCAGCTGGCTTGGGGACGAAGGCGTTTAGCGCGATCCCAAGGAAGACAAGCCTCAGAACTAGTGCTAGAATACGTGGTAGTGAAATGTAACATGTTAATTACAGAACTCGGTAAACTAATTAACCCAGCAGTTCGCAACGCCGTTCTTACGTGTGGTCTAGCACATACTCCCCTCGCAGCTAATGTTTCCAATTGACACATTAGAGAATAATTTTGGCTGCTTGTGATTTCACAATCAAAGCTCTATCCGTAGTCTTGTGGTTTGTTTTGCCCTTGACTGTTTTGCTTCTCTGAGACTCCAACTAGACTGCAGTGCCCTTTATGCACAGGTGCTTTTTCCCTCAGTAAAAACTAAGAAAAAACTTTCTTAAAAGTAATTTGTGTGTTGTTACTGCGCTGCTTACGAAAAAGGGTGAGGCTGCGTCCTCTTTAGTGCAAGGCGTCGGCTTGCGAGAAGTCTGCTGCTTTATCACCGATGACAAGTCTAACAATTCCTCCATGTATGACTAACCAGTCATCAACTTAATTTAACTGTCGTCGCAGTTCCCTTGTGTGATATTTGCTTTTGGATGGTGTCCGGATTCCACTTAAGAGTAAACTTCAGTTCAAGCATTGCTGGCAAGTATTTTTAGTTTAGATGATAACGCTTGGCATGCCTTTATTTCCTGCAGGTAGCTCGTGCTGTGTGGCGCTCAGTGTCCGACTACTACCGGTCAATCTTGGCGAGCGAGGACGCGCGAATCGAATGGCATTCTGCAATCTTCCAAGTACGTAGCCGCTTGATTACAGACCCGAGTGCTTATCTCATGTTCCACAAATAATTTGTTTGTTATTTTTGGAGTCCTTTTTGTTCTGCAAAAATTCACAATCGGCCACTTGCTTCCGTCTGACCACTTTAATTGCTAACATTTTGTCCTGGAATTGATTAATTAACTTCACGCAGTGCACGCCATTAAGTTGAGCAGATTCACGCCTTCTTCCTCCCTGAGTGAGTCACGATTGTCGGGTTGACTGCAAATCGCCATCTCGATTATGTGGAGTGCACAGTTTACACATGTGCAGTTTCTTTTCGTGGATGACTTTTGACCCATGATATGCGAATCGGGCTATGAAGACTGTCTCTCCATGTTGTTTGCACATTGTAGTCGGGTAAGCTCTTTCCATAACTTATTCCATGTCGATGTCATTTGCTAGCAAGATTAGTGCTAATGACGATGAACTTAACTCCCACTAGGTTTAGTTCTTTGTTGATGGTAACAGCTGTGATCGTTTTCCGAAACCAGCTGTCATTAGGATGTCTCATAGCTTTATTCCTTATTTGTTGAGAATGCCTGCTACTTTTTTCCAGATCCCCTTTATAGCAGACAGTTGTAGAGCTGTCTAGTGCCTAAAGTCGCCTTCCTCCTTAATTTCAGAATGCATTTAAACTGTACGCACTCGAACGCCTGCGGTTAAACAATTTGCTTGAAAACCTCAACGCCTATCGCTCCACCATCACAGATTCTCTTCAAGCAATTTCGAAAGCCATTTCTGACACAAAGGTAGGTTTGGATTAATGTTCTTTACACCACTCCACTAGTCTAATAAGATTGGAGGAAGTTGGGTTACGACGTTGTTGACAGTGTCGAACAGTTTCAGCACTGGAGTACATGTCCATTTAGTCCGTCTAGGGGAAGTACTTTTGCAGGCACTATTGATCGGAATCGTGCTAAAGGTTTATTTTGGAGGCCTGCGCCGTCTTAGACCCCAGTTTTCTAACTGTCATTTAAAAGTACTCTTTTCTTTGGGTGGGTAAAAATGCCTGTTTCATGCTTTGAAGGCTGCCTGGTGTGCACGTCATCTTTTCCACCTCCCTTAACCTGTGGACAATGCGCATTATTTGGTTATTCAGTCTACATATCCTCATACCACAAAGCAGAGTGACCATCTTACTCTAACTGGCTGTCGCATTATCTCCTGAAGCTATTCAATCCAGTATTGTTCTAGGACTTTGTCAACCGACCTAGTATTTCGGGGGTTTTGTACGTTGTGGCGTGGCCACCAGTGTACCAAAAGCAATAAAAGTGTCGTGCCATCTCTGTGGAATGTTCCCTCTATTGTCGCCCTCGGCGCCTTATTTTTGCAACTATACAAGAATGGCGTTGGTGCTGTCACGGAAAGTGCATTGTGTGCATAAGTTATTTGTGCTATGTCAGGACGCCAGTCTAAAGGCGAATCCCAAGGAGGACTTTGTGGCCTTCCACGAGCTGGCCTTCCTGCCAGGCCCCGGCAGCACCTCGCAGTCGCCGCTCGTCATCACCCGCCCCGTCGCCACCGACCTCTCCAAGGCCGCGGCCACGGCGGACCCCTCCAGGCTGGTTTCGATCGCCCCTCGGTACCAGTGCATCTCACCGGCCGCCCGGAGCCAGCGGCCATGCAAGCCGCCAGAACAGCGACTGGCTGTTGTGGCCAGCTCCAAGCAGAGCCTCCTTTTCATTCCTGGCGAAGTTGACAGCCTCTATGTTCCCTCCGCTGAGATACGCCAGCAGTCCATCCAACGGGCCCTTCAGAAGCGTTTTTTGGTGCCTGCTCGTGCTGAAACACCACGTGAGTCGAAGGACGGTCTGTACTTTTATATAGTGTCTCGGAATAGCTGAATTGTTCTTAGCTTATCTAAACGTTGACGGCATACTGGGCACTGTAAGTCTCACCAAGTGTCCGGAGCAGTCACACAAACCACATACGTCTCAATACTTACAGAGATTCAAACCTGCTTATTTAAGCGTCCTCCTATTCCAACACGGGATCATGTTTCGATGTCTCTATGGGAATCAACAAAATGGTTACCAAGCACGATGTCGCCTGGGGCTGCTCTGTAGTTCACAGATTATAATAGAAATGCAATTGACCTGGAAATGTTCGATTTCTTTTTCCTTTCCCTTGATGTAGACATCAGTGACGATGCACTTGAGGAATCCAGGAAAAAGTCCGAAAAGGCTGCCTTCTCTCGCCAGTTGCTAATGGCTATTGTCGATATCCTCGCTCGTGAATGTCAAAAAGAGGAAAGAACAAAGCAGGGTGCGTCGTCGTTGTTTTCTCTTCTACTTATAACTACACTAGTAGTATTTATAATAGTTAAAGTGGCGTCTCTGAATGCGGATTCATTGAGATTTATCACGACACTATCCAGCTAAGTAATATTGAAAAATCACCTTAAAGCAACATTTTTTCCTTGTCTAATCAGGCGCTGCTGTTGATGAGGCTAAAAACGGTGAAGTGCCTCAAAAAAACCACTACATAATGAGCTGAAATTAAACAAAGCAAGTATATTTGACCGAATTTATCCGGTTTGAATGGAACGTAATTGAAGCAACCGTTAGAATAACTCGTAATTGTAAGGGGATTTAATCAGTACCTTTCTCGAATTGATCTAAATGTAGTTTTTGACTTGATTGTACTTGATGTGTATGCAGCATCCGAGATGATGCTGTGGTTGTAAAATTGGTTTTTTTTCTAACTTTAAGAAAAGACAACTTCCTGATTCGGGTAATTTCTGATCTTGAAGCAATCCAAGTTGCCAAAATTCACGTTTAGTGAAATGAAGTCTTAGGGACTCATGTGAAAATTAAAAGCACCAGCGCTGTTGTTCAAACCCATCATTGATTATGGCATGTAGATGCGTCAGTACATTTGGCGCCAGCCAATGCAGTCCCAACGTTCATTTTGGTGAATTCCCTATCACTCAGCCAAGTTCGCTTTTGCAAAGTATGCACATTTAATCTGTGGGGTTTGTGGTTTAACCGGTGCGCTGCTTGTCTTGCACAGTGGTACTCCTGCACAATGCTTAGACACGTTCGACATTTTAGGGGTCTGTGATATCGTTTTTTTTTCAAATCAACGCACAACGTTGATTCAAACCTTATCGATGCCGTTCTTGGGCTTTTAATGTGCCTGTTTACTGAAACCAACCATATTGTTTTCCGACAGTAAGCGTTCTGTGTCGTCTTATAGTATCGGTTTACTCATCTGAATAACGAATGAGCTGATGGTAAATCTGTTATTCTCAATTTCACGAGGGCCTTGCAGCTAGTTATCTCGTAGTTGTTGGCGCAATATTCAGTTACATTGACTTTATTACCTTCGAGATTTGCTCCCTTAAATGCACAAAAATCCAACGCGTCGAAGAACACTGACTCAGTGTGATGACTATTTTTCCTTTTTGACTTGTTCGAACAATAAAGCCATCGTGAACACATAAATCAAGCGTCGCATGCTTGGGAGGGGGGGAGTGGGTTGCATGAGTAAGTTTCTGGTCTTTCGATTTTGAATGCATGCACAATTTTCGGCCGAAGTTGTATTTTTCCTTGATTTATCATGTTGAAGCCTTAAGCATCAATGGCAATGTGTCAGACGCGCATTCGTGTAGCAGATTACATCACACTAGTTCTTCATTTGAAGCGGAGCAATTCACAGCAAGTTCATTGAATCACTGATACCTGTGATTTGTCAATTTGTAGGTTTGACTAATCTAGTTCAAGTTTACTCAACAACACCACTGTACGCAAACGAGGAGACGCTGGCAGAGGCCCGACGTCGTCTTTTTTTCTCTCGCTGTCGCCTGGCCTACTTGTGCGCGTGTCGGGCGCGTTTGGCCTGTCTGTTCGCCCAGGAGTCCGCGGACGGTGACAAGTCCAAACCCCCACGGTCCCTCCACATTCGCCTCTCCGAAGCAGGCTTTGAAGCCTCCAGTGGGAACCTTGGAACCGGCTTGGAAAGTGTACCCGCCGACCTCTCCGCCCTCAAGCGGTACGCATCTTCCCTCCTTTCTAGGAGCGTTCCTGTCCTCCTTCCTCCCAGTCTTCCCGAAGGCTTTACCAAAAATGTGCTTGGTAAGAAGCTTTTTGCCTCAATCCAAGCTCACATGGTGGTGTGTTTGTGTGAGAAAAACGTATACGAAATGTCACGTATTGTGATATGCAAAAGCGTTTCCCTGTATTAGGTGGATTTTGTACATCACTAACCTAAGCATGCACGGATTTCATTAATTCGACTTAGACTATTTTCACTTACTAGTCCTCATAGTAAACAGTTGCTGCGTTGCTGTTTGCGAATTTTACCTGTGGATGGATGCATCACCTGGGGTCGGCTGTGACCTTGGTGTTGCCACGCTGTTTCCGCGCCCCTGGCAAATTCTGTGCACATCTGGTAGCATTTGTTTATGCGTGGGGTATTGGTAAATTCCCTCGGACGTTTCCTTTCAAAATAACCTAACGCGGGTCTGGTGTTGATGCTACAACATCGCCACTTTCGTGAGGATGCGATGACTGAATGGCGAACGGCAGATTTTAGTGCAATTTCGCGTAGCTTAACCTAAATTGTAGTTTAAAATGCGTCAATGAAATTGTAAGTCCTTTTTCCTTAAAAAAAATCCCGAGCGCAGCCGATTAGGAAATATCGAAAGTCGTTTCAACGGCCTCCCATGAAGCGCCCATTTGTTGCGGACCTCGATTGCACCATTTTCGCTGTTTGACAGGCAGCTCCTTGCGAAAATGGTGTGCGCCTGGTCCGGCGTGCGAAAATACTACACTCTGACCTTTGTGTACGCGCAACAATACGGTCCGGGTGGTTTTATTGTATTCACTAAATCATGTTTGATTGTTAGCTATCCCCAAACAATTATCGTTGTTTCATTGCGATCGTTAAATGGTGTTTTTGTAGTAATAATCACATGGGTGCTGTTCCTTACTTCTAACCCCCGCGTTTCCCCCTTTTTTATATTTCAGTGTGTATTAAAAATATTTTCCAGGTATTTAATGTAATCTACCCCCTGATATTACATAAGAGGGTGAAAATTAAAAGCAACCTACCTCAAGCTTATGGAGATATGGGTTTTGATATTAATATTGGGTATTTTTACCGTTTGCTTATCCATTATCCGTCCCAGAATGAACATTTTTCATTTGTGAAAACTTGGTGACAGGCAGATAAAGCACGGCATGTCTTTCACGCATATGGAACCAGAGCTAATCTAAGGCTCTGATTGGGCTACGTCAGAAGCCTGTTAACCTAATTACGTGGGTTTCTTTCGCTGTCTGACAAGAGCTTCTCAAAACGTCTCTTTTAATTAGATCTTTTCGTCCAAATTTGTTTCCATCCAAACCTGGATAAATGTTGGTAGAACGTTTAACGTTTGTTGTCTGCTGAGGCTACGTTAGGTTTTAATGTTAGTTGTCATTGTATTGAGGTTAGCTCCCTGTTTTTCTCTTATTGTGCTTGTTTTTGTTATAGAATGGCCTCCGGTGACGCCAGAAATCAGTGACCTTGAGGTCATTCCCCCAGATGATCTTCAAATTTACAATCCATACCTCGCGATGGATCTGAGTCGGTTCAGTTGGATGGCTTATGCAGACACCCTCTTCTCCGGCACAGGATCAGTAACGGGTTCTTCCGTTACCGATGAAAACGACGCCATCGTCACAGACAGTGACTTCGAGGATGACTTTGAAGGAGTTAAAATTGAAACCGCAAAAACTGTTTCTGCTGCCTCAAAGGTCGTTGGTGCGCCGTCGGCCACAAAACCGCTGAGTAAACCGAGTAAAGTGGTCAGTGGAGCCGCGAAGAGACCATCCGTCTCCAGACCAGCTCCCATCCAAAACGTGAACGGTGACACCAGGCCTAATAACAGCAAAGTACCTGAGACCAAGACGACTGTCACAAAGAACCAATCAATAGCTTCGGAAAAATCATCAGTAGGTTGTGCCTGGCCCCCGGTCTCCTTAATGAAGGGATGCCAGACCAAATTTACAGACTTTCAAAAGTGATATCGAAGTTTCTATTTGTAGGTCCTTTTGATTAAGTTTTGAAACGAAATTATAACTCAAAGGAACACTATTGTGGCACCCAATTAAGATTCATTATAAAAGTTGCATTCTCCGTAATGAACTTCTAATAAGTTTGGATGAGCGAGTTAATCCATTCCGCAAACGCCTTCTCAATGGCTCGAATTCGAAGTGAGTTTGTGCAGTACTGATAGAAAGCTTATGTACCGCAGTCGAAGCATAATTTGAGTAATTACCTAGACCAATCGGCAACTGACACAGGTTTTGGGTAAAGAATTATCAAATTGGCATTTTGGCCACTTTAGTGGTTCTGAGGTACATTGTTACCTTCGTACTACAACTACTCACTACACACAAGTCAATTTAATTAAGTACAAGAAACAAACTTGCTTTTTAGATTGAGCGTTTTCCTGTCAAGTTGGCAAAAGACTCCCCAACGAAGAGTCCCACCCAGCGGGCCCCATCGAGGCCCTCGAGCTATGCCTCCACTTGTCGTTCCACCCCACAGAGCACAGCCGCCTCAACTGCCAGCTTCCAAACGCCTGCAAAGGCAGCACCCGCCACCAAGAAAGCCTCTAGACCCACGTCAGTGGTAGGGAAGTTGACCAAACAAAGTCCACATGCTGGACAGAGGGCGACCACGTTGCGGCACACGGAAAAAAAGCTAGCCCCCTTGAAGGTGGACGCGAAACCGAGGTCCGTTGCACTAAAGGGGACTGTGCATCCCGAAACCAAGCCAAATGCTGGCCAGTCAAAACCAACTACCACGTCGCCACCCACGGTTGGTCTCATTGTATTGTTGCTCAGTGAATGACTATGCTCTGAGTTAGTGAGGGTTTATTTACTTATTATAGAGCCCTGCCTTTTCACCAGTCTTAGACAGCACTGATGCATTTATGGACGATGACGTTGGTGAGGAAAATTCGGACACGGCACAAATTGGTCCATTGTCGCGGACCATTGTCCATGAAGAGCGACTTGCGAACATCGGGCCGATCAATGGTTGTGGCGATGTTCTCTCACATGACGTTAATGAAAAGCTGCCGGACTCGGGTGCATGTTCCCAAACGGAGTCGCTAAAGGAAGATAAAAAGAAGAAAAATCCGGCAAGTTTTGTCTTTCTTATATGCTGCATTCTTTCTCCAAGGGCTTTTTATCACCGCATCTCCTGATTTCATGCAAAGATGTCCGTATCAGAAGGCACCATAGGTACACTGGCGAGAGTCTGTGTGGCTGTAACCACGCCGAGTCGTCACCAGCTATTGCTGGCCTCGACATGTGGTCGTGTGCCAAGCCCGGGGCCGCTGAGAAAGCAGGAAGAAGACCAGCGACGGCAGAGGCACGACCGCTTTCTATGTGGCTCAATCTGGTTGTGTTAGTCGCGCCAACCACTACGCACAAAAGCGTGTCTAACTGGGTGAATCTGCAACAGCACAAATGGCTGAACGGTCAAATGAATGAAATAGATAGCGCGCGGAGCGTATGAGGCGACCGCTTAGCAAAATCGATAGGGGCGCTGTGAAAAGGCGATCAGTGTGGCGACGACTGGGTTAATGGACGTGAATCAGCACGACTCAATGCAACTACCTGATCTTCCTAACCACCTCCTCGATTCGTACATTTAGCGTCAACAAAGAAGTGTGGCATTGACTAAACTCGGCCATCGTTGAAGTCGTGTTAAGTGTTTTCACACAAATGACTGCTTTCATTTACTCCTCTTTCTCAGTCCTCGATATTCTCCCTCCTGGGTCGGAAGGTGAATGGAGGCAAAAAGCCGAAGCATCAGCGACCGCAAATTGAGGCTCCCTGGCGGGTGGAGCCTGACGCAAATGGACTCGCCTCGGGGACTGATGGGGCGCCTGACGGTGACCTGCGAACGCTCCCCGATTCCGCGTCTTTCGGTGACACCCTCCATGCATCACCATCCAATTTCAGTCTTCATTGCATAGGATGGGCCAAAGTCATCACCAGTTACGCTCCACAAAAACCTGGGGAACTCTCACTTCTTGAAGGTGAAGTCCTTTTTTAATGTCTTCGGGTTTATTTGATTGTGTTTAAAAGATCCGTTTTGCCTCCTACTGCTCTTTACACAAGCTACTGCATCCTGAGTGTTCGTGTGATATCAATACCTTCCTTCTACCCTTTCCCACGTCGTTGGTTGCCTCTGTGTTGATTAATGTCCACTGTGAAACGCCTCTTGACGTGTGTTTATGTGTGATGTGTCCAGTCACCCTACTTCGGTTTGGTGCTCGATTTTTATAATTGGGAAAAAGAGCAACAATGACCAGTGCGGATTAGTTTGACGAATCACGCTTTCCATTGCATCATACGTATTTCGTAAGTGCAGTTGATGGTCTGGGTCACCCACACCCACTTCTGTGTGCATCTTGAAGGTCCGACTCAATTTACTGACGTCTCTTACTTCTCCCATCACCAATTAACTTGTCTCGTGCCTTTTTGATTTGCTTTCGTGGCTAAAAGCCACAACAAGAGTTTTGGCTAGCCTCAGCCGTCAGGGCTTGACACAAATTGAAGTTCTGATCAAGAGTTCTTACATTAAAATGTACAAAATTTTATCGATTTTTCAGTAGTAGCGGTCTGTCCACCCTCTTGTTCTTACCCTCGATTTGCGTCTAATAAAACGCACCAATAGCCACTCATGCTAATGGAATGTGGTCACCTGTAAACTGTAGAGCTTTAACCCCAATTTAAGACAAGTTGACCATTCATTATAAGTGAATGCCCTGGCTTTGGTAGAGGTGCGATTCCTTCCCCTGCTACTGACGGCTCCCATCCTTCACGAAACATTAACAGTCGGGGTTTCATGGCGAATAGAGCATGCTAGCCGTGTTCTTTTTCTAGATTCAACCATTTGACGTGTTTTGTGAAACATTCAAGCCTTGGGGACTGTGCGTTTTTCTCCAGTCATTGAGGGGAATCTGAAGTTTAATGCTTGCTTCTTCAATAAAACCTCGTGGCACAGTTGACCACGGATTGCCCTAATAAGCTAACGCCGAATGCGCCTTCATTACGTCAACCTCTTTAAATGTTTGACAAATCATTTATGGGAAGTGGCGCTTACCCTGATGCGACTTCATTACGGAGAAGTTTTTCCAATAATTTTTTACAAGCATGCCATCACTATTAACATATTTTGTACAACATTGCAATTTGCATGCTTATATATAATCTATGTACTTATAATCATTACAAATTGCATTAATTTTTGTAGCGCAATAAATTTCCAGACATTGGCGTGCCGTTGTGAGTTGGACCTTACTATCCTGAGTGTTGTTGTTCACTTTTTTAGCTTGACCTTATAATTTGTGCATTTTGCTCCTTGAGGAGGAGATTTCAACGATGAGATTGGACCTGACTTGCTTCTGAAGTAGAAGTATTGTAATCCAACCATATTTGCGTTTTTTGTGGTAGTGACATAATAATCATCTATTTAGAGATTCAAGACCGACATTCCGAACGCCTTTAGGGCTTAGAGACCGCCTCAAGAAGCGGTGCTGGGGGTAAACTCAAACTCGGCGAAACTCGCCTTTGTAGGTGGTCCTGAATGTAAATTCATGTCCACCGACTACCATTTACAAAGCCTGGTAAAGTGAACATGCTTTATAGGTTTATTTATGTGTCTTCTCAATCAACACAAACGCGATCTATTTTTGGGTAATTATCGTTGGCGGAGCTCAGAAAGCCTGTATTATGTCACTTATGAACAATTAATTAAATCAGGGGCCTGGTCTTCTCCGAAGAAAACCTGCAAATTAACGTTACCACAAACTTTTCAAGAATCTGAAACAAATAGTTTACGTTTTTTGGCTAGCCTTAAATGCCACGAGTTTCAAGCATTTTGAATAGTCTTATTCGTCCAGGGAAGATGACGTTGGTCTGTACAACTACACGGAGTGTAAAATTGTGCTACTAGAATGAATGGTCGGTTTTTTATTCAGTGTTTCTCGGAGCTTGAAACCTTACTGTACATTGCTTTTAGAATACACATCTATCGGAATAGTACAGCATTTAGGATAGCTATGTATGTAAAACCTTTGCCGAAAGCCCATTTTCTGCTAATCCACAAAGCACGTTCTATTAGTATTGATTGTCCTCTGTTGGGTCTACTTAGTGAGGCCTATGGAAGTAGCGGATTTACTTGCTAGTAATATACCCTCAGCCTTAATTACACTTGACTTAGCACCATAAATTCCGTTTTTCCAAAGGCTAATTAGTATTTGAGTACCTACATTCGTGAACTACACGTGCCCGTCTCGTCTGGTTTGGTGATTAAGGTTGCTAGGTCTGTACTTCCTCATCCCATTCTCTTTCGATTAAGGTGAAATTGTGAGCATCCTTCAAAAAACCAGCCCAACGTGGTGGATAGGCGAGGCAGGGGGAAATTGTGGACGATTTCCGGTGGCCAACGTGGAGGAGTTCTAGTTGCGGATGTACCCTCAATTCATCTAATATAGATCTACATTCAGCCCCTTTTTATCCACTCTCTTATTTGCATTTTAATGGCAACACACGTCTTTATGTTTGTTTGCTTCTTGTTCTAGTTTTTTTGTTAGGAGTCTTCTTTGAAATGCTAACAGAAAGACTAACGTAGATCTCTTTAAATAAATTCATATTGCCTTGTGGTGAATGTTGGTGTTCTACCCAACCTGTTGGTGTATTCTGGTAAGGGTGACAGCCTTGCCACCTCATAAACTTAATTCAGTGTTGTAGTGGTGATTTGCCGCTAAACCGTGGGCAGCGCATTGTTGCCGTTAGTTGTTTGAAGCCATGGTAGCGACGCATCGTGTCGTTGGCAGTGACAGTCGATTAGGTTTTTCGGTGAGATCGGCTGTAATTGTGCTCTGAGAATAAAATTACAGACCTAGCGGCTGCCCTGAGTTAGGGCAAAGGAAAAATTGAGAAAAACGCCAACTGTACGAAAACGGGGTATAGTCATTTCGTTTCAATCATAGAATTTAAACTTGAATAATGGACTTATTTTGCTGCTAAATACACGCCCAAAGGTCCAGTGTTGCTTCTTAACTGCAGTTAAAATTCCAACAAATTTGGCGTCCTTGCGCAAATTAGTCCTCTCCAATTAAAGTCAGCCTAAAACCAGCCAGCTCCTATGTTTGCTACTTTGAACAAGCCTACATTTGAGAGCATGAAGCACACTACTGCTCGCGTTCAATAATCCGCACCGATGGTGAACACTTGGTAAGACCGACCCGAAAGAATGTCAGTTTGGTGCTGTGTGGTGCTCGCTCACACTGATCATTCGCCACTACGCGGCCAAATCACTAGTCTGAGATGCTAACTTTACTCGCTGACTATGCATTCCTGTTGCACACGAACGAGTAAGCCTGCCAAAAGGTGTGGAGGGTTGTGTGATGTGGCATAGACTGCTCTCTAACTATGCAAAGGAAACGCCCATGGCTGTTTATTATTAACATGATCACGCTTACCAAGCCAGTCTTGTTCAAGAAATGTGACTTCTGCAATTGACAGGGTAAGAGCATATGTATGGTCTTAAACTCGAGTTCAAAGTTACATTGATCAATGCCAATTGGGTACGCAGAACCGGTTCACAGCTATCAGCACCGTTATCCATGGTGCAATAATCAAAAAGCAGTATGAATTCAATGGCTTTGTTATTAAATTTGTTCATGTATCAATGTCAGATTTGAGAAGAGAAAACTGGTAAATCAAATTTTGGCATTCAGAGGGCACACCTGACAGAGCGGTGGTGGATATTAAGAGCGAACATGTAGACAAAAACAAAGAACCGAAGTAGCGAAAGAGCAGGGAGAACTTAAAAAACAAAGTTTTGGAAACTGATTTCGCTTTGACGTATATATGTGGCAAAATCGGCAAAATGCAGTGATGGGGAAGTGCTAGGATGGTGGGGGCATTAAGCGCTTTAAATGAGCAGTTGGGTGCCGGGGCAGTTTACTTCCATGCCCTTATCCGAAAAATGAATGTCACAGAGGGTTGCCGATGGGTGCACCTTGAGACCCGCAGCCTGGAGACGCTCTTCTCCGGTGCCAGGGCTCGAACTCGTTCCACTGCTCGTCCTCAGCCAACGAACCCACTCCAATGGCTCATCAGTGGGAACAACATTCAGACCCTGTAGACTGCCGGTACCACCACCACGACCGACTGTCTCGCGTTCTAAAGAGACACAGCATACAACACTAAGCGATGTATGACAAAAAATCCATTGATAAGCGTTACATAGATCGTTCTACAGAGAATAATTTCTGATGCTCCACAAAAACGCTGAGTTAGCATAGGTTTCAGGAAGCAAATACATTAGTAAAAATGGCGTATTTGAAGTCGTCGTTAAATTCTAATACTTCCAAATAACGAAGGAGTTAGCACGCCGTAGCTATGGGACCTGCATCAAAGGGAAAATCAGCAGAGGTAATTTCCATGACTTAGTTTCTTTGGCATTCACTAAGTATTCCCATTATGGTTTTCATGAAAATTGCTTTGTAGAAATTTTAACTCATGAAAGTGTAAAATCAACAGTTAATATCAAGAAAGCTAGCTTTTGGCCCTTACATTTAGAAATTGAGACCAAGCATGGTAATTTTGTTTAGCTATACGACCCGAGTAAATAAACAATGAACCATGTGAATGATACAAGGGGAAAACGATGAGCACATTGTTCCTATGTCATATGGAAATGGTGTTTTTACTAATGCTTCACCCAAAACGAAAATTGCGTTCACGTTCCAACAGTGCAACCCCAGATATGCGTTACGTAAGCAAAGGGCAAATCACCTTCGAGTGGCCACTTCGTGACACCAGCGATCAGCGCCTCGCCAGTAATGGGATGCAGGCATTCCCCAGAGAGCACGTAAACACGAGCCCGGACCTGGGTGAAGAACTGTGCAGCCATTTCGAAGGGCACGGAAACAATGTAACCGGGGACCCAGACCACGTCGAGGTAAATCGGCGCTCCAGGAGGCAAGCTATCAGGTGCCTTAGTAGTGGCAGGGCTTGATGACATCTTCAAACTTGCAGCTACAAAAGAAAGACCAACTTTAGGTGACTTCAACTTCCTTTCCTCCCAAATCGTCATTAGGTATTCGAGAATTCAAACCCTATAGAAGTTTTAATTAGTAAGGCTTTTGAGGGTATAATACCACCTCGCCCGAATGCTCCTTGAGTTTATTACAACATTCATCTTTTACAGACTCACTGCTGTCAATAAATTATACTAGAAGTTTTCCCGAATACGAATGTTCAAGAGCTACCAATACATCACCAAAAATTACGAGGTCACCGCAGGTTTTTTCGTGAAACCTAAACTAAATGTTTGTTATTGACATCCTGAACGCGAAAAGACACCTCCGTTCTAGACATGAACCATAAATTAAAGTGAAAAACAACTAGTACTAAAACCGAGAAATCGAAAATAAAGCTCACCAGCGGTGGGTCGTCTGGTACCGTTGATGGCAGTTCCTGGTCTTAGGTGAGCTGAAGAAGAAAAGACGACTGCAAATTAGGGAAGGATATGGGAGCATGTCGTCCAAAACGCCACAATTATTTAACCTGAAAACCTATGGGTTAACGCAAAAATTTGTACCCGAATCGAAGGCAAATAAAATACAATACTTTCCCACGAAAAATGCATTGATGAAATCCATAACACACTCGCCGTAATTACACACAACCGCCTCCCACTATTTTGCACGCATATGAATTCTCTCTTTGTAGTTATCGAATTCGTTCGCCGATTTGTCACGTTGCTAAACAATACCATTTTTGTCATCCTCAGCCATGTTGTGATCCAAGAAGGTGCATTTTGTTGACGAGTAATGAGGCATATGGCCTTGGAAACACGGTGCGGTTTGGGCTCTCCTGTTAAGACGTCTAGACTTCCGAAGTGCACCTTAGATGCTTATATTGGCAAAGGTTTGTTGATTTGCCGACATTTAGTCTCTCGTCCGTCTCTTGAGTGGTGTTATACGCTAAATCACGGGAAAGTCCTTGTCAGTGCCGAAAGCTCACCCAAGTCTCCATTTCGGAATCAACTATGCTGCCTCTTAAAACTTTTCTTTGCAGTTTTAACACTAATTCCTAGTTTAAATCATATAAGTTAACATGCCACGAAGGTAATTTTTTATTTATCGTCTTCAATATTAAGCCTGCATACTGGGTAAGTTAAATAAACCCTAAGGCTGTGTTGATTCACGACGCATTCAAATAACTGTCACTTAGTAATATGCCTGTAAAAGAAACATCAGTAGTTAGAAGCGTATGCTTCCGAATGTATTAGACCTTACTCTTTCGGATTCACCCTGTCGGTTGGTCCGATCCTGTAGAATTTAAAGGCTTCAACAATTTTCTTCGAAACAAACTCTTTTGGCCTCATGGAATCCCACTATTTGTCCCTTACGATCTCTGGCACAAAGACAATCAGATTTAACGGAAAACGGAAGCCAAAAATCGCTCGAGTGAACCACATTCTTGCGGTGAAAGCAGATTATTAGAAGTTGATACTTACGCGGTGTCGATTTCAGGCCGCCGAGGGAGCTCGGGGCTGGCATGCCTTGTGGATGGCCCCAGCTGCTGAGAGGATCGAATGTGATGCTATCGACTGGCTCACCGGCGAATGCAGCAGACTTGGATTCACTGCCACCCCCCTGGGTGTCGTGGCCATTCGCGAACTCACCCACGTGGCCACAAGGCGCAGACTCCTTGCATGGTGAGACATCACTGCTGTACCCAGGTTCTCCTGCAACACAAGCAACTAACATTAGGAAGGCGCGACACCCATCTCAGTCCTAACGTTCACCAAGAACGCGGAAAATTGATTTTTGGGTCAAGTAGGTTCAGTTTTATGTCAAGTACACGGGAAAACAGTACACTCGTCGTGCACACGTCAAAGTTGCCCTACTACATTTGTGAGCAAATACAATGCATATGTTGCGATGCATAAAAACGACAAACACTTCAGGATCCCACCTTGCTGATGGGCAGTCACGGGATGCAATGGAGTCATTTTTTTGCATTGCTATAATTTTTCACCCAGGAGAAGACAATATTAGGACAAACACTTACGTGGGGACGCCTCAAATCCATGACCTCCAAATTCGTCTACATTTTTCCCACAATTATCCCCAAACGGATTTGACAATTCTTCCGGAGTGTGTGCGAGTAAAGCGGAGTCCCCGAAAGAATTTGCAGGTAGCTCAACCGTCTGACGTGGATTAAACAGGAGTGGATGCTGACTTGAGAAACCTGTGCTGACTGGTGAAGTGGCCATCGGCAACTCCTCGCCCGAATGAGCCTCGGATTCCTTCGAAGAAGAGACAAGGTCGGGAATGAACCCGGGAGGCGGTGGGGAGCCAGCGTGAATGACCGAGTCATTGGAAGCCTCAGAAGACGGGCTGATGAGCCTAAAATGAAACACCACATTTAGTTGAAAACCCACACTTGCCTAGGCCAATCAGACCACAAAAATTTTTAAATAATAAATTTCTATTGCCAATAAAAATTATTATTCCACATAAGTGGCTATTCAGGCTTACCGTTCCTCTGAAATCGGGGGTTGATCTGTAAGGTTTTCCATGAAACCGACATGAGGCGATTTCAGAACGTCCTCATCAGTTGTGGAATCCGCTTTTTGACCAACACATTTGGCTTGCAATTGGTAGAGCGTCTCTGCGTGGATTGGAGGCATGTCCTCAGGGGTGCATTCGGTTGAATCCACGCGGTCCACCACTTCTTCGATGGCATTAAAACCCCCGACGTTGACTTCGTGGACTGGAAAGTCCTCCTCCGCATCGGCTGCCATTGAAGACGCCTTCGCAGATTCCGAGGGTCCAGTGCAATCCGGTTTGCTTGAGTCCGAGAACGTTAAGGACTCAACTTTTTCCTCATCAGACAATTTTACAGGAACCGCAGCATCCGGTTCAATACTCTGGCTGACAGCACAAGTAGAAAATTTGGGGTCCGCAGGAGAGACCTCGGACACGTCAGCGACTTCGACGGATTTATCAAAATCAGCATGAGTGGGAGAACCGGTTAACTCGCAAGAACCCGACAGCCCAGCCCCTGCCTCAGGTTGCGGCATTTCAAACGCCTGCGGTGTGGGTGAAGTGGAAAAATCCATACCAACCGGAGAGTGCGCTGTGCAAGGCGACTTGGAATTAAATTTACCAATGGCCTCGTGGGGTCCAATTATTTCCGAATCTTCAAGCTGTTCATTTTTGGGCGAAACCGGAAAGTCTACATCCACTAGTTTCGAGAATCCAGTGTCACGAGACTCAGAAATTCCTACCTGAGAACTCGGAGATTCTACATTATCAGGTGAATTCGCATGCTCCAAAGCCTCTGGAGTCGCTGCACTATGAGGAGACTTAGGTAGTCCAAATGATTCATGCTGTTCAACACAAGGTGAGAATTTCAAATCTACTGGAAATTGAACTTTTGTCGATGATTCTTCAAACTCCATGTCAGTTGGGTCTGTGTGATCTGGAGACACCGGGAGTATAACTTCTGATGGTTTTTGAACAGGCGGTGATGCAGGTGCTGTTTCGCCCATAAAAAGCTCACGTTCTTTATCATCTTGGGCCATCGTAAAAGTCGCTTCCTGATGGAAATCAAGGGAGTTTGAAATTTCATCGTTATCAGCAACAGGCTCTGACGATTTTGAAATACCACGCGCAGACTGGTGACTAGAATCTGGAGATTCCACAACACCTGAATCGACTGCAGAATACACTACGCTTTGTAACCCAGATTTGTCAAGGGTAAAACTATCTGATTCTAACGCCTCTGTTGTCTTATGAACCTCAGGCGGCTCGACACAAGGCGACGCTAAAGAATCTGTGTCCGGTGAGAGTTGACTTAAAGCTCCCGACTTGTCAAATGTTGGTTCCGATGACATTGCGGTGGTTTCATGATGTTCGAAATTCACTTCAACTGGAGACAAGGCAGGCTCGGGTGACTGTGACATGCCGAAGACATTTGAATGCTCGTTTACGCCTTCAAAAGGCCTTTTAATCTCCGGAACTTCACCTGATTGATGATCTACTGATAAAGCTTCCACGTCCGGAGTGTCTGGACACTCAGTTTCAGTGTATGGTACATTGGTGAGGGTTGTCGAAATGGCAAAGTCATCTGTAGCCACAACACCTGAATCAACTGTAGAATGTACAACGTTTTGCAAGCTAGAGTTGTCAAGAGTAAAACTATCTGATTTTAACGGCTCTGTTGTCTTATGAACCTCAAGTGGCTCGACACAAGGCGACGCTAAAGAATCGGTTTCCGGTGAGGATTGAATTAAAGCTCCCGACTTGTCAAATGTTGGTTCCGATGACATTGCGGTGGTTTCATGATGTTCGAAATTCACTTCAACTGGAGACAAGGCAATCTCGGGTGACTGTGACATGCCGAAGACATTTGAATGCTCGTTTACGTCTTCAAAGGGCTTTTTAATCTCAGGAACTTCACCTGATTGCTGATCTACTGACAACGTTTCCACGTCCGGAGTGTTTGGATATTCAGTTTCAGAGCATGGAACATTGGTGAGGGTCGTCGGAATGGCAAAGTCAGCTGCAGCTGACTCTTTAGGTAATATCTGATCAGCAGTCGAATCTCCAAAATCGCCCAAGTTTTCTAAAGAATCGCCCACATAAGAAGGCTTCTGCAGTTCTGCCTCACCAGATTTCATGTTTTCCGAATCACATTTAAATGGTGGAATAGGCGAAAATTGATCGTCTTTGGGAAAAGCCTCACCAAAATGTTCATCTGCTGGGAATTTTGGGCTTTCAGCATTTCCTGGGGTTCCATGGACCACTTTCAGAGCCTCTAATTCGGCTGAATAATGGCCATTAGGTGAGTGAACATCTGAGTTCTCTGGCATCTTGGAATAACTAAAGTCAACTGATGAATGCTCTAGTTTTGGAGAATCATCCAGTTCGTGGACTTTAGAGTGGTCAACTTCAATACCAGGGGCTTCGAATTGACGAGATTCTGGCGTGTGAAGAGCGTCGTTTTCAATTGGATTTGTATATCCATATTCGTGAGTGGGTATATGATGTCCATCACCTAAAGCCTTCGGAGGTTCTGGCGAAAAATGTGAGATTTCTGAAGATTTCGATAATTCAACGCCTTGTGGTGTTAATTTTTCAAGTTCTGGTGTGAAATCACCCATTCCTTTGGGAGAACTTGACAAGCCCAAACAAGGCGGGAAGTGTTGAAGTTTTTCGGCTTGTGAAGGAGACTTAACGTCTTCGCTTCCAGGTTTAGCTTCTGGGGACTTAAGGAAGTCGATATGTTGTTCGCGATCTTGAGATGGCAATTTCTTTGACTGTATATCCGAAAGACTTTGAGCAGCCCCTCCATCTGGTTTTTCAGCCTCGGAAAGGTTTGTCTCAGATATACCTGAAGGACTCAATGCCTCCACGTCACCAAAGTGATGCACAATATCTTCGTCATGCGGACGGTCAGGGTGGGTTTGGTCTTCGAAGGGCATTGCAGGTTTTGAGGCATCAACAGGAATATCGGTGGCCAGTGTTTTCGCCTCAGGGACCTCATTTAACTCCTCCATGACCGTCTTTTCACCAACCTTGCGTCTTGGAGGGAGATTAGACGGGCGCCCGGCGACGCTATACATAATTTCGTGGCCAGGTTTTGTTGCGAGGGTCTTGGTGACTTTCGCTGCATGTGCGGAGAGTTTAGCTTCAGTCTTGGAGGGCGTCGAGCGCTTTGCGGGCACAGGCTCTGTCGGCTTTTTCGACACGTGTGTGGCTTGCGGACCGTGGGGTGATGCAGTAGCGACGGTGGTTCGTGGCTTAGGCACAGAAGGGGCGGACGAGCATTGCTGTGATGAATTGGAAAGTCGGCTTGTGGCAGTCCCCGGACGACTTTGAGGGGTCAGTTTAGAAGACATTGGCCTCGTATTTGCCGAAGCTGACAGTCTCGCTGGAGGCGTAGACTTGGTTGGCACTTTTGACGGCGGTGTCTGTTTCGGTGGGGTCGCCTTGGTGGGAGCCAGTCGTGGTGGTGTAGGTTTGGTGACAGTCGTAGGTGGAACGTGTTTGATGACTCCGCTAAAAGGTAGGTAGTGAATTATGCTATGCTCAAGTTCTTTCGGTGTGAAAAGTTAAGTAAACAGTTTTTTTCTTCACATAAAACAATTAAGCAAGTTTACATTACAGTGTGGTGTTCAGAAATGGAAAACGTACATCCGAACTCTGGCAAAATAAGTGACGTAAACTACTTTCACTTATGATGCTGCATTAATGAGTAGATTATGCAATTCTGGTCTAAAATTGCAGTCAATTCCGCTGCGTTTCTCCAGTCACATGATCTTTTCAAACACACCCATAAGGTGAAGAAACAAAACCAGTGCAAAAACTACTCATATCCCGTTGTTGTAGTAATGAATGAATCCACTGTCTCCCAAGAAATGTAACCCTGATTTTCACTGATCGCGACTTAAATTTGGAGCTACCCTGCCAGGGTTTTCGCTAGTTTCTAGGTGAGGAACTTGGAGCATTGACTTAGTTTATGTCCGAAACAATTAAAAAGACGCGGGAAGGCAACTTTTTAATTGCAAACTCCAGGGAATTTCGTAAAAAAACGGGCAGTAAAAAACAAAAAATGACCGCATCAAAATACATTTCGGTTCAAAATCAAAGGCTAAGCTAGTGTGGCAATAAACTCGTGAGGATATTAACATAATTTTGACTGTAGATAAAATACGCGCAATAAAAAAAGAATAGCAAAATAAACTTCCAAGTTCCAATTAAGGCTGTGTAAAAGCATTTTACAAGAAAGAGAAAGGTGTGGCAATTGTTTTGAGTTCGCACCTTACTTTTATGCTGTACACAACAAAATCGAACTAAGTAGAACTACAAAATGTCAAGTGGTCGTGTTGTTTAACCAAGTTGATCCCACAGATTCTTACTTGGCGGGCTTCGCAGAAGTCTCGGCAGCAGATTTGGTAGTTCTCGTAAGTGGCTTGGCCGTTTGGGGCTTGTGGCTCACCTCCGCAGGACAGACGTCGGCGACCTTTCGGAGCATCCGCACAACACCCACCAGACTGCCACGTGCTGTCGACTCGACTACATTCGAAGCTGGTAGGAAAAGACGCAGGGGCTTAGCTTTTGCAGAAGACGGTTTCCAAATCAGCAGCAGCCCCACATTCAGGCCCAGAGGCTGTAGAACAAGTTCCCCAACTCCGATCTTGTAAAAAAGACTGGTCTTGTCTGGCAATCGGTCCCCAGAGATGGTTGCAGGGGGCAATTGATGGTGGCGCTGGGGACCCCCGAATTCCTGCAAGGTGGGTGGGGTGAGGAGGAGCGGGGACTCGGTCTCGGGGTCGCCGGGCGGGGGGGTGAAGTAACAACCAAGCCAAGAAGCACAGTACGAGGTAGACACGGCGTTTACAATGTACCTCTCGAGAAATTTGTAGCTTTGAATGCTCGCCGCAGACCAGTCCGGGAAAAGAACAGCATCGAGGCTGGAAAGGAGACAACGGACTACATAAAGTCGTGCGTTTGTGCTTTTGTTTGGGAATATACCTAATGTCACGTCAGACATTAAGACGAATTTCAAAGTATGCCTACAAAGCAGCAGTTTAATCAGGGACAAACTCCAGTGTGAAAAGAATTACAACGACAAGACATACCAAATCGTAATGTCTACCTATAAGTAACCTTAGTCAATACAGCTACGCTAAAAGTTAAAATGCTAAACAGAGATCACTGCTGCTCCAATTAAGCCAAGGATTCACAGATAAACGAACACCGGAGGAAACGAACTGCCTTCTTAATCCCAATACGCAAGAACGATTTCGAGCAAAATAACCCTAGCGGATCCCACGAGAATCTGAAATAACCCGTTTAGAATCTGACAGTAGATGTAGATCCCTCTTGTGTCCCTTTCCTGATTTTATTTATCTGTTCAACTACCTAAATGCCACAAAATGACAAACTTTCAGGAATAGAAAATAGTAAAAAATGCCAATAGAGTAAGTTTTTCTTGATAATCCTCTTCTAACTAATGACTAAAAATCGGAATCAACGGTTAAAACCGAAACTGCCTTGAAACCGAGTTATTGCACGCACAAAATTTTAGCAACTGTTAATTGTGGGGCGCATAATTGCAAGGGCAGTTATTTTCACTAGTCTACTCACAATTCACATGGCTGTGGGCAAGTTTGGAGAGGCGAAATTAATGGTGGCATGTAATTTGCATAGCCGGACCGGATGCACATGGCAGGGACGATACGCGGACGTTCAAGGTTTTTGTTTTCGACGTAAAATCATCACCACACCTACTAAACTTGTTCATCGTCTTTCAGAGAATGTGATAAATAAAAATAAAACGGCGAAACCTCGAACAGAATCTCGTGGTTATGAAATCTTACAGAAATCGCTGAAACTGTCGTAAATTATATAGCCTTAAGCATAATCCCCTGTCAACAAACTAAGGCCTGAAGTGGATATTACGCCAAATTTACGATGCCTCAAGGTAATTTGAGTCAAATCAAAAGTTCACATACAAATAAACACGTTTCAAAAACTGATGGTTGAAAGAGGCTAGAAAAAATGCTAATTTTGCTGCTTTGGTTCAAGCCAACCATTCGCAACTCACCGATCAAGACTTTTAACCAGTTCCCACCACTGCGGAGGCCGAGTGGTTGAAAAAGCCGAGCCTAGCAACACATTGACGCCTTCGACAACAAACAGACCGCATGCTTGTGGTTGCACCCCACCTGGACCACTTGGGAGCAGGTAGAGGGCAGGCGGGGCGGGTTTGAAGGACTTTTGCACCAACTTGTAGTCCCCTTCAACAAGGGGCTTGTGGGACTTCGAGTGGTGCTCCCAATGCAGGTCGGCCATTTCAGTGCTGAAGGCAAGCAACGCCTCATAGGCTAGAAAAAAAAACATCACAAGAAGTTACAACCGTTCCTAACTGTCATTGTCACCGCCAAACACTTAATCAACCGCTAGTCATAGTTTTCTCGTGAAACTATGAAACTTGAAAGCCCACAGCTTAATATGTCAGCTTGTAATGTCATAATATTTAAGGGCAACTGACGCATTCCTGAATCGGTGCGCAATGAGAATGCTATTTTGGTTTAGTTGGATTTCTTTGAGGATTTGAAAATTCTGATCGTCAATATCGTTCCATCAACAGCGGCGAATCACTGATGCCTTCTAACTATCAAAACAAGTGAAACAATTTGGAAACTATTATCTCCACACAAAAATACCCTCACTAAATTAATTCTGTGATACTTTTAAGTGAAATGCCTTCTAAAATGTATTTGGCTGAAGAGGAGAAAGGCATATTGATGTTTGCACAAGATGGCGCTATCCATGGGAAGGTTGAAACATGAGGTGTTGGGGTGGCAACAGCGCTTGGATTCAACACGAGACCGCGCTTCATGCGCCTCTTTCATAACGCATGGGGCTATGAATCAGCCGAATGGGCAGCCAATCGCGGAGCAGCTGGCCGTTGCCAAATGTGGCAGGCACGACAAGAGACGGTGACGATGCAGCATGCATGCAAACGTGCACACACGCACAGGCCGTGGGCATGTTCGTTCGTCTGTTTACCACCTTCCACACCAAAAATCGCGCGTCATCGTTTAGTGGAGGGCTTGCGGTGAAATAAACGGCCAAAATGGGCCTAGCTGCAGTAATGGAAGTGGCTTTTTCTCGTGTTTAAGTATGAGGAACTCAAACATAAGATGAATGGTGGCCGAGTCAAGGCGTATAATCGTGCGACGAAGGTTTTCCTAGCAATTGTACATCTGCGAAGGGAACGTGCGAATTAAATGCTGAGAACTACCACACACTACAGGGACGCAAGGCGGAGAAAACAAACCCAAGATAAATGAGCGTGTGCTAGTGAAATGGCTCCGCCTACGCGAGCACACGCAAGATAGCCGTACGCACTGCAAGAATTTGAGTGACAGACCCGAGCCCGCCTAGTTCACACGATTCAAACGCCGAAGAACTAGATACGATACGAAAACAGACCTGTTGATTTCTTTCCTGAGTCATCACCTTGATAGGCGGTAGATTCCCCTTTTGTTTTTAATCAGCGAATTCAGCTCACAGGAAAGTAAATTTGGATAGCTAAAAACGTCATGCAAATATTAAAACAGATGATGATATGTGGGTGAAAATTTTGGTTAGGTGGCGGATAAAACTTTTGCAGTTCTTACCAACAAAAAGTAATCTGGACTCGTCACGGTGAAACAAGGTGCTACTTCTGTTAGTTTATCCATCCAGAACAGTCGTCAACATCCACGACTTAATGGATAACACTATAGCCGACTGACAATGCGGACTAGAATTTCACAAGAAACAATGATTTTCCAATGAGTACACTAGATAGCGGCTCATTATACAAGTCTCCAAATTCATATGCTGTTGTTAATAAGCTGGAAGAAGTTCGTATTGAGTCACTACTTTAGGCACATGATTAAGGCAGAAGGCAAATGTGTGCAGTGATTTGTCACCGTCGTAGCATGTGCGACGCACCCAACAACCGTCTTTGCTGAAATACCTTAGCAAGTCATCAGCACCCTGGAGACAAACAGGCGCGCTGAGTTATCATCCGTGGCACGAGCCAATCAGGGCCGAGCGTGGGTGGAATAGTCAAGCCACGGCTTGGCTACCAAATTTGGCTACCCAATGACTAACCCCTCGTGCTTCAAACAAAGGCCTGCTTTGTGGAGTTGTTTGATCAACAAAGTTTTGGGTGGGAGTGGCGTATGATTGATATTCAAGAAAAACACCGAATGGCAATTAGAGGTTAACTTTCGTTCTAAGGCAATCAAAGCTGCATTACCCACTTTGCTTTATCGCTGAAGGAAAAAGCAAAAGAGAGAGACCGAAAGGTCTTACTACGGCTGAAACACAATCTAGGACATTGCAAATTGGACCGGAATGCAGCATTAGCAGATTGCCTCACTGCGTCTCATCATGGAAATGCCAAGCTGGCACAAGTCCTAGATGCTTCCCTAAAAGCCCCATCTGCTTGGTAGCAGACACGATGAGGCCGATGGCAGTTGATTTGCTCTTTTTACTTACTCTTGTTATACTGTTTGATGCCGCTAGGCCCAGGTATACACTTACGGCACGTGTGCGCAAAAATCCATTGAATTGTGCAATAAACAAATTATGCAGACCGCATAGGCTCGGTAATATGAGAAACAAAATTTCGCATTGTAACCCCTTTTTCCAAATGCAACTGCGACACTAAATAATGCGCCTCAGGAACCACTTGAACTAAATAGGTTCTATGAGGAGAGAGAATACAACGGTTCGATCAGGTCGGTCGCTTGTGAGTGCAGTCACTGAGAACGATGGCATGGGAGACGAAGGTTCCGAGCACAGCCACTGTGACGACACAGAGAACAAGCGAAACTCCGAGCACTTACATGTGGTGGGTTGGTGCCCAGCTAAGAGTATGCCGTTAGCTCGCCACGAAGCCTCAGTTTGCAGTTGCACTGCAACCCTGCGGGACTTGGAGAGCATCACGTAGTTGGCCTTGGCCGTCGGCCAACACGTCTTCAAGCCTGCGCTCGGCGTGCAAATGTTTATTTGAATTGGACGTTCTCCCGTAGGCGCAGCCATCAACTTTTGTATCTCCGGTTGCCATGTCTATCAAAAAGAGAAACGGAGGGAATTAACAGGTGAGGTGAAAAGTAAACCTGGGCCAATTCAAGTCTGCCCCGTCGATTCTAGCGGTTTTTCTACATACGCACTCTCCACAGAAATCATTAACAGCAAATATATCACAAAATAAAGCAGCTCATTTTGATTGTGGTAAAAAAATGTCACGATTCCCACGAATCCGACATGATATTGACTCTACCCATAACGCCCGAGAGAAGGAATTCCCAGCATTCTTTAGCATTCTAAAAAGACACTAATAGGAAAAACATTATCTGCAGTAAGCGCATCAAAAGGGTTCGATGCGCTTACTGCAGATAAAATGGTGCGAATTACACAAATGAGTAATTTCCCCAGCATTTTCACAAGTGAATGTGGGATTTTTAAACGTAGTTCTAAGAGAGCATAGTTACTTCAGCCCCAGATAAATAATTTGTAGTCAAAGCGTCAATACCGAATCTAGAAAGGCAGGATTCTTGATGAATCCGGCGTAGTGGCTCAATTAATCAAAAAAACGTTACGGAGAGTTCTAACAAGATAAACCAGCCCCGCTTACATCATAAACACCAGCTTTTTTCTTAAAAAAAAATACGAAATAAACCAAAATTTGAAAGCTTTTCGTACTGATGCAGTCTCCGAGTCAAGCCAAATTTTCAGCTGCTCCCCAGAGAAGGTCGAATCAGCGAGTATCCATTCGCCCGAGGAGTGCAGAACTTGGCCCGCGTACACAATTGCGATTGTCGATCCTGGACCGGCCTCCACAGCCTCCGCCACGGTTTCCTCAAAGGCTAGCTGGAATTGCCGCAATTCCGGCTGGAAGAGAGTGCGCATTGTACAACCCGAAGATAGCGTTCGAATAACTGCTGATCCATCTAAAAAGCGTATTTTTTTATACTGTTGATTAACACAAAAACACCCGATTCGTTGAAACAAGCTATTCAAGGCTACTACCACCACTACAAACTTAGAATTATAAGAAAGACAAAAAATGAATCACATAGGTATTAATCCTTAACAATGTAGTTCTACACATTACCATCCAATTTAGCCTGGCATCGGGCAATTCAAATGTCTAATCCTAGGTTTGGAAGTGACTAGGCAGATTGGAGACTGCGAAATTATGATATGTTGACACAAAAGGCACGAAAACTGCAAGTGGTACCGAAAGTAATATTGGGCTTCCATGGGACTGTGATGTACCGCATTCATTGTCAATTTTCAGAGTCCAAGACACCTTAACCCACCCTTAGATGCTGAAACCTGATCGCAACAAATCATATTAGCCATGACGCACAACATACCTTGAAGTATATAGTAATCGTTAGTTAATGCAGAAAAGCTGTCCATATGAATGGTTAACAGATAAATTATTCGGAAACCCGTCAAACGCTGAAGTAAATCAATTAGTAGCTCAGATATTTTGAGCGAATAAGCTTATTGCCAGAAGGCCAAGAGTGAGATTGAGTTAGTTTTTCAGCCAATCGTAATCATACTAGAAGAAAAACACCATTTCGGAGCAAGAGAACGGTCTCTAGGATGAATCCTCGAAAGGTCCCATAAATCGATGCGTTCAATTTAAGACAAATTAAACTGATGCCTTATTGCCTCAGCAGTGGCTCCAGGATTCTCCAATTTTATCATTATCATTATACAAAAGACAACTATTGCATTTTCGTTGACAGGATGTACATAAGGAATTTGGTTTAAGCCATCGTACATATGACAAAGCTAGGAGACACGCTTCGGACGCCGAAGGCATGCACTGATTGGCCAGCGCAAAAGTGTCGATCATTATTGGCAATCTACCAATTAGGTTTCAGTGAATGAGGGCACGTGTGTGTGTGTGTGTGTGTGCGTGTTAAAGCCAGCCCGTGCATGGGATTCCTGAAATTTAGGAAAAGAGGAAAAGGAGGCACACGAGCATGAGGTCGTCAGACAGCACAGGACACTGACTGGCAAAACGGACTTAGGTGTAGCTAAGGCGTTTCCTGCACTAAAGGGAGGAAAAATTTCAGTCATAACTAAAGACCAGTAAGATGCTATCACAGGAATTCATATAGGTGCCCGATAATAACCATAAACCTAGCTACTAGGACGGACACCGGAGTCAACAGGCTATTTTAGAATTAATTCGTCATAAAAGTTTGTTGCAGAAGCACGCCTTTTTTGGAAGAGGATCGAGTTACAAAAGGCTAAACTATTTTCTGTAAGGCATATTAATCCTAAATCTACAAACTGGATTGATGGTATCGAAAGCTTTGAGAAAGGTTCAGCAAACGGTTGCAATTTCTGCGAACTCTTTCGATGAGGTATAAACGCTTGCTGTTCCGCAGCAAGCGTTTCAATGGTTTTCATTTTTATAAGAATGAGTGATATCTTCGTGTAGCGCTAGAACCATGCATTCAGGGTGCCAATTTTGTGAGGATCCAGCCAAGATCTGGTTACAACTTTAAAGCGTAATGAGAGCTCACTAAATTTCAATTTCCAAACATTAGCTCCATTGCCAAAGTGCGAAAAGAAACGCTTTATCTCCTGGTTCCCATGACGAGGGAATTGCTTTCGGAAGGAACCCTAATACTTTCTCAAGCAGATTAACAACCACGTAACAAAAGTTAGTAATTAGAAATGAGAAAAAATACGCGGCACAGAGCCTTAGGGGATAAATTTGCTGCTTTTAAAACTTGGGCTGTTCTGGCAGGTGGAGGAAAAGACACGATCAGAAGCGGCTCAATTTTGGATTAGTTACAATAGCAATTCTGCAGACAGACGGTAGCGGCTGGATCACTCCAAGACAGCTAAGGGACATTGTAAGTGATACAACAAAAGGGATTAGGTCGAGGCAATTACTACATTATGCTGTATTTGAGAACTGAAAAATAGCCGAAAAAAGTGTCAAATGTACGCGAAACACCGAAGCAGCACAAATGGTTTTGAAGGGATCGAGTTTACGAATCAAACGACCAAAAAGCATAAATTATTAATCACACCAACAGTTTGCACAACAGCTCTGTCTAACTTAAACAGCGACAATCAGAAAATAGCGGTTCTCTGGACCAAAGATAAAGAACCTAAAATGAAACTGATTTAGCACAGTGAACATGAGATTAGAGAAACTACAACAAGCCAAGTGTTCGATTAATGCTCCAGCAACACGATTCATTTATCGAAGGGAAAGCGATCTAACGTCTATGAATACGGAAAATGTCGCTGCTTTTGATTTGCAGTTGCCAAGCTTACAAGCTATGCCGATGGTTGTTAATTCGGGTGTTATTTGTTAGTCATTCAGCTCGTGTTAGGAACAAAGCACACATGCTTGCCACTAAGTTTCAACAATGCAGGCTGCCTTACTGCGTCTAGCCGCTACGCCTAATACTAATAAATAACGCATCGTTCAATCCAGGGCTGTATGCGCGCAAACGAGGGGGCCTAAATTTTCAATCTTAATGCGTTTTATCCTATTTACACTTACGAGAACGAGAACTTTACGTGATGGAGATTTAAACGACACCATAAACCTGGATGAAAACATAAGACCGAATTGATTTTCGACAGAGCGGCGTGCACGTGATTCTTACAGGAAACTGTTTATGATGGAGTATATGCAATAAGTTGGAAGAAACACGGTAAATTTATTTAAGAGCAGGAAGGACAACTTCCTGTATCGTCCCACGTTGGAGGGCGAACAACTAACCTAGGGATTGCTACAGAATAAATTACGGTTCAGGTAGAAGCTCCGGAAAAAAAGGTGGAAACAGTTAAAGCCTTTACGGAACAAACATATTGAACGGTCAAAAATAGGTCAAGCCACTGTCAAAACCAGCAATATCAATTCGTTAAGAACCCAAATGAAGCCTGGTAGATTCGGGAAAAATTACGATAGTGATAAAGTACCGGATTGGGTTCGGTCGTCAATGCAGGAATCACAGTGGGCACACAGCACAAACGCGAAAGGTCAGTACGGAGTGAGTCAGCCAAATGCATCACACGAATGCCATCGCGAATACCCACACAATTTAACTACAACTGAGTTTTCGTGTTTTTTTTCTCAAGATTAAAAGAGGTATGCACTTTATGGCACCCTATGGATCTAAATTGAATTAGAAAAAAAACACCCGCCGTTAAATGACCGACGTCCTTAAGAACACGCAAAATTAAGGGAATGCTAACGAATATAGAAACTTGCTACGACCCAGCTCAGACTGTAGTCTAAATGGCCACTATGGGCTCAAACGTGCAGTTTGATTAAAAAGTATAGGCTGAGCATTGTGAACACAAATTTAGTCCAGGTTTCGAATGCCGGGGATACACTGCGAGGTAAAGTAGACCCAAGTATCTGAGCATCTTGGCAGTTCGGTTTAAGGCGGGCCAATTAATACTACAAAACTACAGCGTCCGATAATGCAAACAAAAGTACATTCCATTAATGCCAACCTGAATAAAATTGAGACTAAAATAAAACCTCACGCGATCCAAAAGCTTTCGTTTAAGTACACATTGACCCCAAGATTTTAGGTATTTTAATTTTCTTCTACAGAACTATAATTCTGAAAGCAATTATGCATTACACCTAATAGAAAAAATCTGGAAAACAAGAAGGTATGAGAAGTCATAAGTAAATGCTATATGCTTTGTCCATTGAAAGTGTTACATAAGGAACCAAGGTAACGAGTAGTTGACAAGAGGTGAATGTTCTTTTCACCTTTGAGCGACTCGATATTTATGCTAAAACAGTGAAACGGTGTGAAACAAAGAGATCAGTGGACGCACAAGAACACCCAGACAGAAAAGTATGTTGCATTTACCAGATTTACGCAATATTTCATTAATTTTGTCTCCGGGGTCATGATGTTAGGGGAGATAGTGTGATTATTAAGTTCATTATCTAGCCTTGTATTTAGCCCCCTCGTAATAGGTCACGGGTGTGAGTCGCAATACCTCAAAGGCTGAAGCCGTCGTAGTCCTGGATGAAACGCTTTTGTGGTTTTTACAACTTAGGCCTAGTTTAACCAGAGGGATCGAAACAACACTTTATCCTTCCAAACCATCAGATAGAATCAAGGTTTTTTTTCAATAAACTTCAGACTCTGCAAAGACGTTCAATGAGGTCTTTGCCAGTTGATAGCTACACAACTGACTGGACATAAAATAGCTAAAAAAGTCCTTCCCACAAGAGTGCATCAGCTTGGGGACAGAAGCAATGCGTTGCTCCCTTGGTAGTATGCTAATAGCCTTCTACTGCGGTAATTGTACAACAGGGCAACAAGTAAACAACGCAAAATAATTGTGTTAAAGGCTATATGAACTACCTGGCTTATTGAAGTCTCACATACACAAAGGAGAGGACTTTAGGATTTGGGAGTGATGTAATGATTGAGTCGATATTAGGTTTGCAAAAACAAGACATATATTTCATGTTACAAATCTTATCGATTTTCATAAATCATCTGTTAGTGATTCATGACCACTGGTGTTGCTAGGCACCAGCCGAACGCATCGTTCTTTTTCCATAAAGTACAACTTGGATTCTAAACCTATGCGCAATAAAAACGTGGGATGATCCAGCAGTGACTAATTACATACCACAAATAGGAACGACAGTGAATCACCGCTGACAAAACGGTCACATTCCCCGTCCCGCCACTCATTCAGGCATTCATATGTAAATTAGTTCAAGATGGCAGCTACTCCTCCCCCCCGTTTAATCATGTAAGTTTGCTGAGAAAGTTGAGCTTTGTTTTTCTAAAGGCATTCAAATAATAAATGCAAAGTTACAAAAGGTAACTAAATTAGATAGAGGCCTTAGTGAGACTAGAATTGCCATTTCCTCTCTCAGTCTCGTCACTATTTAGAAATAGTAGATTTAAAGCTAATTGCTAATTGCCACCACTAACCAACCAGAAACAAAATATACTAAAAAACAGCCAAGCGGTAGATTTTACAACTGATATGTTCGTCAAAAACCACATCGGGTTTTCACAGCTACTGTTTTATGCTAGATGAAAAGGGGAAAAACAAATTCGCTCATGCAATGGACTTCACTTTTTGAGATCGATTGAATGTGAGAATGAGCAGTCAACTGGACATTAAAATGAGGGATAAGGACCTATTTTAAAGGTCTTAAAATGCAAACCACCACATAAACAGTAAATGAGAATCTTGAAATAATAACCGGCTTCATGCCTTTGTACAAAGAGGCATATTTTGTATGTGCTGCACCACAATAGAACAGATAAGCTTAGACATAATTAAAACTTGTGACAAGTAGCTACGTTAACTAAGTAATCTATTTACTAACAATGTAAAACATTCTGGTAAAAAAAGTTGCATTTAATAAAGCAAACAACTATGCATGAACACATTCTGCAGCGAATTCAGCAAAAACAAAGGAACAAGATTTTGGTCTGAATTCACAAAATCTAACAAAGCATAATAGGTAAAATGAACCATACAGTACGACAGTGCGTATGGCAGACTAGCTATTTAATTGCTAAGAGGAATATCAAGCAACTACACAAAAATAAATATCAAACGATCATTTTAAAAAGTAAAGACATTTAATAGTTAGTCATTGGAGCCCCTTATCCTCAAGACGCCGGTGTAAGACTTAACTCACACATGGTCTAGTTGGGCAAACACGAGACATACAAAATAGGAAATCACGTTCTAAGACAGCATTTCTGCAGGAAACGACAGGTTAGTAAATACATTCACAAATGATTGACGTTCCAGGGGAAATATTGGGGATTGTTTCAGAATGTAAATTACGAATGATAGCAAATATAAACAATTAAATATAAGGGGGAAACGACACCGAGAAACAATTGTACAATCTCTTTGATCACATTTATGGATGGAAAATCTTAAGGCACGTGAGACCAAGGATAAAAAACATAGTCCGCAAAAGAATAGCCTTGGATATGAAAGACAAGGTTCGAAAGGAAAAATAGCTCAAGGCAAACATTAAAAAAAACAACCCACATTTTTGAGTTTCCAATAAAGTTGGGGCTGGGTCAGTTGAAGTGGCAACTGCAGCGTCCACATCAGAAGCGAAACTTCCAAGAGCCGTAACAAGGCCTATATGAGGACAATAGATGATTTAAGAAACTGGGAGGACCAAAAGACTCTTTATCAAAATTGACCAAAAAATACGAAAGCAAGGGTAAAAATGATCTACCAAAAGTTCGCAGACAGAACATAGCCCTCATAGCAAAACTTCAAAAAACCAGATTTTGAGAATATTTAGTATTATTTTAGGAATCGTCGTCAACTAAAAAACTATACCTTACCATCATAGAACAACTTCTGAAATTTCTTGGATTTGTTCTCAGGTCCATTTGATCCAAATACCGCCAGTATAGAAACAACAGTCATTTCGAATCACGCGAACACAGAGCTCAGACGCTTGATTTAACGGGTAATAAGAAATTACTTGCACTTAGAGCGTTAGGCGATTAAAACAAATCATATTCAAAATCATCATTTTAATAGCAGTGTATATAAAAATTTCAAAAGGTTAATGCAGTAAATAAAGTATGTCTTAATGTATGCATTACGTAGATTTAATCAGACTTAGAACAAGTTGTTTAATACTGATTTTCGAAATCGATTTTCATTGATTTTATTTTTAGCTAGGATTTTTAACTCCTACAGAATTTAATTTTTTTATGAAACACACTGCTTTGAAATATTTGATAAAAGTGTGCATTATCAGCCTGCCAAAATTCCATACCAAGCTTGTACAAATACCTTTTAGATTAGATCTTCATAATGATATCTCCTGTAACGATGTTTATATATACCCCACTTAATATTTGTTTTGTAATGCGTTAACCTCTAGGTATTTACGTATGATCATTCTTTCTATCCTCTCCAATTGGGAGCACCCTTCAATTTATTGTTACTTGGGGTTGGATTCATATGAATTTTGGGGAATAAGATCAGTCTAATAGCTACAAACGTTATAAGATACAATAGCTGTCAGCTCGCCCATATTGTAGACTCACGATCAATTTACTTTCAATCCATACCACTCCCCTTATATTCGGGTTCACTCTAGAGCGACCCATCGCCTGCCACGATCTCGCCCCCTTAACGTGCATTTCCTTACCATGGAATAATTTGCTTAACTAATGTTGATTCGAAAAGTGTTTATAAAAGAATGTCAGTACATTTTTGAGACTCGGAAGTTTTTTTTAAACCATGTTCTCATACGTACCAAGTAACAAAACTGATCTGCTCACTGAAATGACTCCAACTCTGCACCGTTTTCATGCCTTAAACACTGGATTTGAAAAGCAAAATATTCTGGTTAGCATTTTCTGTGAAAAGCATCAAAATAAATGAATTTACAATATGATAAAGGGAAGGTAAATGAGTATGGGGTCAAATCAAGTGTCACGGGAAATTTCCGTTAATCTCATATAAATAGACTGATAGATGAATGAGTATTGCTTAGCCAACTGAACAGAACAGGCACGCTGATTTCGTATTCGGGTGACGACACCAAGAACGTCCACTGCCCCTTCGGTCTTAGCTTGCATCAGACAAATGTCGGTTGCAGTAAACGTGCCTAAACCATATTATCAATAATCATTACAAAGAAAAACAACGTCTTAGTACAAGAAAGCTAAGCAACTAACCTGTACGACCAATGCCAGCGGAACAGTGGATTACCAGTGGGGGAGGATTGGGATTAGGATTCTGTTTAAGTCGTTCATTGACTACATCGAGAAATGATAAAAAGCCTCTGGGATCCTTCGGCACATCAAAGTCGGGCCAACCGAGGAACAAAAAGTGATCAATTTGACGGGTCTCGATGGAATCTGTTGAGATTTTATCCTTTAAGAAAACAGACATACGCATAACAATTTTGTAGGTAGTGTGAGGAATCGATAAAGTTAGAAGTTTGGGGTCGTATATTTCTAGGGGTTAGGACAAAGAGCGATGACAGCAGAGAAATAACATCCTTATACATTTAGTAGCTGGAAACCACAGCACATAAGAGTCTATATATTTTAATTACATTGTGGAACTCATCACTTTTTATGATTCTGACATATCTAAATCAAAGAGATTAAGGCAACCAAAGGTTTGTACGCAGGCTAATTAATGACCGACAAGTGATACAGTCAATGAACCGACCTGTGATTTAGACAGCTGCAGTTTAGTGACCTGGTAAAGTCCGTTGGCTTCAACAGTTTCAGAGACATTTGTTACGGTGAAATGAGCGAAGTGGGAAATCGCGGAGACCGGATTCGATGGGTCCAAAGCAGGCCAATACTGGCTACACTTAATCCGACCATTCTCCACAATTCTGTAAGAGCAATAAGTTATAATGTACACATTGGATTGAGGTGCTACACGAGTTGTAGGACAAATGGTCAAATTCTGAGATACACATCATCAGAGGTGCGAAATAGGGGATGATTCCCCGACGAACCAAATCCACAAAAGGTGACACAACAATAAAATATAACACTGCTTCCAAATGCAGCAACCACAATAACTATGCCTAGGTGCTAACTGTACTACTAAGCCGTATAATTAATGGAGAGGAAAGTCAAATTCAAGTTAGTCTATTTGCTTGTGAACATTAATAGCAATAATTAACAGGATAACAGACATTTGCGGATCTCATCGTTAACGCTCAATTAGTGGAAAAGTCAGCTTTAACAACTAGAAATCTGCGAAGCCAATGAAAGAGTGACGCTAACACAGAAAAGCGTTTGTCCTTAGCTTTGACGCATTCAACAGAACACGTAAGATAAGGACAGAAAATTGGGATAGTAATGATAATTGATGAACTGGGTCTCAAAATTAGAAAGGAACAATGATTTATACTAACAGATTGCCACACAAGTCACCAATTGCAAAACGACAGTACGAAATTGACAGCTCAAGCGGCGGTCTTGTAAAGCCACGGGTAGCTAATTCAATCATTTCAAAATACAGTGGTTTTTTAGCCAGTAAAGAAATTTGGCTAAATAATTGAGAAACTTCTCAAGGACAAGGTCATTAAGTATAAGCCTGGAATTAAAAGAGTGCATTATTCCGGGAATCACTAGTTTATTATTAATTTGAAATTGTCAAGTCAACTCGGGCATTATCACATAAGAAACGTCAAAATGGACAAATGGCAAAAAGTTAAGTCGTAACTTCGAAAAGATATGTGGAGTTATCATTCAAATTCGCATATTCCGATTCAACCAAATATTTCCGCAAAAACGCCAAATTCTGGGTGGTTTATTTTGATGCGAAAGTCCCAAATCAAGCGCTATTAAGGTGTGAGAAAAGGGGGATTGATGAGACAACTTACTTGGTGAGCATTATTATTATTGTAGCGCCCGTAGTCCAAATCATCTGCCAAAAATCGTCTATGGTGTTGTCAAGAGGGCCTACAGAAGATTCGAATGAATGAAAACGTCAGTCCAGACACAGACCACACAGAATCCAAAGCTGGAAATGAACTATACATGGGTGTTCAGTGTGTACACTATCAACAAAACATCGACACCCGAACGAGATCATCCAAATGGGAAACATTAAACATCAGATGCTGCATAAATCACACCATGACATGCACTCAGGTGATAAAGGCTCGCCATTCCCGAGTGATCCAACCTAGTGGTAGAACAGTGTTTGAGCTAATCCAAATCACCCAGTAGGGTCAACAGTGAACTAGTATACAACTCTTTGGCTTAAAAGCCATGTTGTCGAGGTGATATTACCCCAATACGGTGTATTTGCCAGAGAATTTAGGGTATGCACCCAGGCTGTTTTCCCTGCAATGAATCTTCATAATTCACGTCCACCAACTCTGGTGACACACCCGCGTTTTCCGCAGCGTACCCAACGTTCACGTGGACCGGTCTGATCATACACCCCTATCCAGAGATCCCCATTTTCACACGTATCACACATCTTGCCACGAGGGTGCCTTACGGCGGCGAGTCGGCATATTTACGCACGAGTTTATGAATTTCAAAACAAGGTGAAGACAACGGAGAAGCAAATCGAAAACACAAGGATCGCCTAAGATCACCCACTTAAAGTTACTGACCACATTGCTTGGACTGTTAATCGGCAGTAAATATGCTATTTATTAGGCAAGAGATGTACACAAGCAAACCACGCGGGCAGACAAAGATGGAGAACGGATTGACGGATGATGAATCGGTAACGCACCTTGAGTTAGGATATAGGCATTTTTCCTATTGTAGCCGTCCACATAATTTGCATGGATATACGCACCATTGGGAAGGATCACCGCTGATTGATCCAAGCAGGGAACATCCACATACCGGTTCTTTTCCGAGTTGCAGTGACACCTGATAAAATATATAAAATGCATGCATGCAAACAAATGAGGATTTCGGTAGTGCGATAATTTATTGCCGATTGGTCAAACTCCAACATTTGCGTTACGGGGCGCAGGAAATCTAACAATTGTTGCAACCAATATTATTTTGCACCTTTGACACGCCGAAACACCACCTGGCTCACCCCATCAGACGTAAGAAACCGAGGCAAACAACATTAACTGATAAATCATTGCGGCTGACCTAGAGACTGCATATACATGCATGTCGTGTCCCTAAAAAGGATCAACGTGAGCTGTAAATGAATGTTAACTACTTCAACCAACTACGGTTGGTGTGTATCAGCAACCTGAAGTACACATCATGGAACGCAAGACTAGAAGTATCAGGAATGTGGTACTACACAATGGACATCGAACTGCTTCACGGAAAGCACTCGAGATACAACTATGAGGGGGGTACGTATGAAAAACACACTAATTGTAAAATGTGTAGAATGCCCTCAACCGAAAATGCTCACTTGAATCGATTGACACTCCCGTTCAAGGGAGTGGGCTTTATAAGCTGCTCAAATTCTCTTTCGAAAACACCCGGGAACTTTCGTGGAAAGTCTGCAACAAATTGCTCCACGGAGACACAAGTTGTCGAATTCGAGTTCGTCGCTGGGAGAGTGACGAGCTCATCACAGGCGGAATCGTTATTTGTGGAGAAGGAGAGGGCGGGAAGTTCCGGTAGATGGGAGGTCTTTTGACAAACCAGGGGATTGTAAGTCCAATTACTTGCATCTACGAAGTGGAAAAAGAGAAAGTGTTCGGCCGCACGCCGAGGCTTCAACTGGCGCTGTGGTTTTGGATTGCCTACATTTTGATAACGTAGAGGTGATGACGCATGGTATCGTTTATTTGCAAACAAGCACAACCCTTCTCTGTCCTGCATGAAATACTCAACAAAACACACCCTTAGATGTGACTGATTTGGTTCGACCGACAACAGAACTGAATCTGTTGTGGAGTCTTAAGGTCCCGTTGCTGCAGTAAGCGCCTTGGCGGTAGTGAGGGAAGTGGTGTTCTCGCAGTAAAGCACCGTGGAAGGAAGACCGTCGGGTTAGGGTGAAAGGGGTTCGGCCGTTTACCTGAATGGCTTTCATGGGATTGAAATAGTCGCCATTAGGGAAGGGGGACGCAAAATGACGTTCAAAGCAGGTCTTAAGCCAATCAACGTGGCAGTGGATGAGATAGCCACCGAGATTTTGAGGAATGGTTGCCAAGGGGAGGTAATTAGGTAACTGCTTCCGATCAATAGTGAGAATCTAGTGTGAAGGAAATATACTGATTCAGAAAGAACAGCAAACGCGGTTGTACAAAAAGAGGTCAGTCCCAAATCCAAAACTACAACCAATCAATAGGGGCTGAAATTGTTGCCACCTTACCTAGCAGAACCAAAAATCAAAGTAAGATAAAAATTTTTGATTAGGGATTCAAAAAAAATTGGCATCAAAAAAATCAAGACTTGAGGATTCTTACTTCTGCCAAAGTATTTCTTTCAGCCCAAGGCTAACGTAATCACAACTTTGTATGACAAAAAACGCACTTGCAGATTTTGTTTGAAAACGGAGAAACATTTGAACCACATCTAACTTTATAGCGCAAAACCATGCTAGGAGCGTACATCGGCTAAAACTAGGACTCGGCAGATAACTTCGATGAGGAATGAAGTCAAACAATGGTTTTTAGAGCTATTGATTATGGAATTTAAAGACAGAGGTTATTCTTGTACGCGGACTTGTTGATAATGGTCTTAGTTAGACACAATTAGTCATCTAACGCGACTACAATGGAAATTCAGTACGCCAATCGTGCAGATTAGTAGCATTTCTATTCAAAAGTTCAAAAACAAGACAAGCAAAATCGAAGTAATGGTGTTAGTTGTCGCCAAAACCCATCATCTGTGTTCATACCTCGTTGTCACATCAATAGCAGTTGTAATGATGCCAAATCAACGCTTAACGTTAGTACAATCAATAGCGAAAGTTTAGTCCGATTAATGCGTGCTCTAATCAAGAGTCGACCATTAAATTGCCGACCACCAAGAAGGCAGAAATCTAAATGGTTAGCACTTGCTGACGTGTTCGTAGATAGGCCCGATCCATTTAGGAGAAGGAAGCATTACGCAAATGAGGCCATGTTCTGAAGCCTCAAAATGAGCCCCAAACAAAGGGTCATTTGGATTGAAAATACCCGCAGATTGTCACTAAACAGGTACGTTTTTTATTACATCATCAAATTTCGGAAAGCTCTAGAGTAGCCACAGGCAGTGAGAGAAAACTGCAGTGAACAACTAGAGCAAAAAACCCTAGGCATAGAAACCAGTTACGGGACGTACCCTTTCGCGGATTTTATCATTTACAAAGAACCTGGAGAGATGGTAAGGCGGCCGAAACCAAAACGGCGCAGCAACGATTAGGATATTTCGGACACGTGCCGGATAGCTTCCCTAAATGAAACAAATGGACTGCGAGGTAGGAGGCTTTGCGGGAAGCGAATTAGGTTACAAATATGCCCCTAAGTGGAAGTTAGGATTGACGTTAAGACTAGTTTGATAACAAAAGACGACTTTTCGGCGACTTGAACCTAGAAAATTCGGTAGGAAATTGATTAATTAGTTGTTTAAATAGCTATAAAGAACAATTGCAGCTCGTAAACCAGACAATTCTTACAAGCCTTGAAAAAAAAATTATTATGGTGGAAAGAGTAGTCGACAAAAAATTTAAAACAACCAACGGTGGAAGCAAAAACTCCCAAAAAGACGGCATTGAGAAGCTAAACCCACAAGGCACCGGTTCACATGAATGTTCCCTTAATATGATACAGAAACGCCAAACCTGACAGCAAGCAAATAAACGACAGAAATGGACCAGTGCTGTGTGGTAAGTAGGACAGGGTTAATGCGCAGGCGCAGGGGGTTCAGCAAACACAACCATAAAACAGGGCAGAATAAAAATCAATGAGAGGAAAAAGTCAACATAAGGTGATGAGTTAAATTGTCAAGAATAAAGTTGATAAAATCTGAGTTTCAGAAGAGAATATTTCTGCTGAATTCCCCCTGCAAAAGTATAGTGGTAACTTTGTGAAATAGGAAATCGAACAAAGAAGTTTAATATAAAAAAAATACACCATTTAATGCAAAATCTTGTACTTGATTCACGAATATCGATAAAGGCCAGCTGTACAGTAGAACAAACATTTAAACTCCCCTAAAAACCGAATATTGCACACTGTGGTGCAAAATTCTCACCTCATCAAATAATGACAAATCATACCAAACCAAAAATTGTAGTACGATACTAAGCTGCACCGTACAACAAATGTGTAGGGTTTAGATCAGTCATCAACGTTTACTTTAAGCCCTTTTTTCAGTAGAATAAGGCAACTAACAGAGAATTACAAAACTGGAACGTATGGTATGAGGCGCTTCGAATGACATAGCACTGTGTTGGTGGGTGCTATTAAGCCAATATCTCTGTTTATTTTTTGACGAAACAAGCACGCGAATGTCATGTGAATGTTAAACTTACCACGAGAAGATTCAGCAATTTCATGGAGAGGTCTGCACCGAAATTCGAGTACTTCGCGTCTGTCATGTCATAGATCACAGTCAAGCCTTGTTCTTGTGTTTGTTCACTAAACCAAACGTGTGGAGTAAAACAATTGGTTAGAATAGAGTTAAGTCAAATACGGACCATTTCAGGCTGCATAACTGGTATTGCATAAACAGCATATTTATGATTCGTACAAACACAATTTCAATTGACCATTATAACACGGCTCTACGGTCTCAATCGAATAGTCGACGCTCAAAATTGGAAGAGTTATTGGAAACACGAAAGCCACGAATTGCTTGTGCACGTGGGCGTATCAACAGTACAATAAAGTTGAAGCTGCAGTGACAGAAATCTCGGTAAGCACAGTACTTTAAGTATTTCAAGTTGATCTGTTGTAAGTGGTGCGGCAAGTTTTAGTCAGAGGGCTTGTATTTATTGCGGCAACTTGGGCACAGCTACCCCACCAACTTGGGTGATGCAATAAAAGCCGGGTTGTTCGCAAGAACCTAGTGAGGTTAGATTAACCGCGACCAATAATTAAATGTCATTTACAACATAATGGCCGACATGTGGGTTCTTATACATTGGAGAAAAGGGCTAACCGGGTTAAATACCGCTACTGTATTATAGAAATGAAGCCAGTTTGAAGAAAATTGGTACCACGTGAATCATGAAGTTCATTTCCATAATACGATCCCGTTTACTGAAATCAAGAGTCAGTTTTTACCACAAAAATATTTTGTACAATAACTTTTTGCCACTAAGGCCAATTCAGACGAAAGGAAATAAGTTGTCATACAAGTGCTAAGAAGAGGAGAAACCACATTAGGTGGCAGACCTCACACACCGTTTATGTGTAGACCAACACTACAAATAACAAGGTAATCGGGACGTCAGAGATTATTCCCGAGACTTTTTGCTATTAAAAGTGACGAATATAACTCGTGAAACCCAAAATCTTCCCTTCATGTGCGAATATTATTATTGTTGTTACGAATATGAAGTCAAGTATAGAGTGCTTTATTGACTAATAAGCTTCAATTAAAAGATTGTTTTCACGTTTATAACCACTGCCAGCGTACTCACAGTGACGACTTTACAAGAAACAACAAATAAGCTAAGACTCACTCAAGAAGTGCTGCGTCAAGTTGGTAGATGATGCCTTTGAGGACATCTCTGTCGGTACAGTTGGGTGGCCAGTGGCGTCGCACGGAGAAGACCATTACTGTGGGCTCAAGGCTCGAAGAATGAGGCTACGCGAAGGAAAGAGATTTGCCTTATTTTGCATCACAGTCCTGCCTCGCGAAAATCATTTTTAGACACAAAAGACCAAAACATCTTTACGGAACACACACACGACGTGCTTATTCCCATAATGCTTGACGACAAGCATGAATCTGGGGTACTGAAATAGTACGGAACTAGTGAGTTTTGGGGTGCAAACTGTAGCACAAAACTGGTTAAAGATGAGCTACGCAGTCAAAAGCATATAAAATGTAGGCTGTAATTCAACGCACAGCCACTGATTGACCTTATTCATGTCATTAAACCGCAAGAGCGCAAATCAATTGCCTATATTTACAAACGCGTAGAGTGACCTAGCGTTGTCAAACACGAGTGCGCAGCTGGGGTGGTGCCTGCCAATGAACGAGGTCGTAATTGTAGCATAAGACCTCAAAAATGACACCGGGCTTTAAACGTGACTCTAAAATTAAATTTAAAGAGGCAACTCCACCACCTTAAATGGAAGACAATCAATGATCTATTGCAGACTAATCATATTTTGCATTGTGTGATCAGAATGGAATGACCCTTGATGTGACATCATTGAATGCGCAAAGAACTTTTTGGAAATAACTAGTAATTATGGTTCTCAGAGAACGTAATTCTAAGGTAGACAAAAACCGGGATTCGCAGCAACTGCAAAATTAAACGTTAGATAAACAATTCCGTTAACCCGACAGGTTTCCATGGCCAATCATAATCAGATATCTATATTACTGGTTATTTATACATTTCAGTTTAATGGTAAACAAAGTGCCACAATTCAAACATACTGCTTACTTGTTGCGTTTACTGCTACTGATTTCATTTTCAAAGGCAAAATAAAAACAGGCGTGTCAGCTGACAGCACTGAAAACGATTGCACAGAACTTATCTAGAGCCAGGCCGCTGGCACGTAAATAGAAACCCCACTAAGAACTTCCAGCAGGATGACATTATTGCGTTGATTCTACTTAATGGTTACTATTACATTGGTTATATAGTGCAGTTTTTTACATTGTCAATCGCTGGGATTCCTTTATTGCTAGTGAGGAGGTACTCTTTTGAACTACTACAAATTAATTGATCGCTGGTGATATACAATAAATGTGTATTTGCCATCCTGAACTCGTCGTCAATTACACAGGTCTTGGTAATGTTGATTTATAGAAACTACTACAAAATTACATTGGGAATAGGAGCAAATATGTGAGTTTTCCTACACAGAGCAAAAGAACAATAAGTAAAGTTTGATTATTGGCGCGTAAATGAGGAACAACTGTAATATTGCTACGAGATCAATCCATACGTTAAAAATGCGCCTTCTGCGCATGATAGGACGAGACTTACTAGAACAGTAAATTTTTCAGAAAGCAGTTCACGTCGAACACCCTCCTCCATGGGATCAATTGCTTCCAGCTGATTGCTGTAGCGCATGTGCTAAAAGGACGAAATTGTAGAGTTGACAATGTTGTGAGGATAAAGCGAATGGCCGGTGGTGAGGTTGATATGCAAATTTCGGATTTGTACTGGAAAAATTTGTAAGTCCCAAATCGATCAATCAAAGTGAAACCAGATGGGCGCACACGCTGATACCGCAATAGTCCAGTATGGAACTTTGAAATCTGCGATTTCTGTAAAAGCAGCCACAGTCATGTATAGTACTCATTACAAAGGACTAGAACCTGCAATGAACAACTCTACTTCGAAACTAACAATATAACTCTTAACATGCCAAAGATACAGGGAATGACGTTTTCATGCACAGATTGTTTGCATATATTAAGGGGTTTTATTCCCAAGTCTGACCTCTTTATACAACAGGGAGTTCACGGTTGGTTTTATCAATGAAACGTGCCAGTTTAGCATATAGTAGAGGGTGTTATATACTAACCTAGTGACGTCTAGGCAATACAGAGATGTTCCGCATGTAAGACATAAGTTAAACAATGACGCCTGATACATACGCTGGCATCCAGTCGATTTGATTTGTTAGCATAGGGTTATATCTTACAAATAGATCCTATATGGTTGACACTACAAATACAGGCAACTCGGACGTTTGAGTAGCCCACTCCTACAATAACAGAATGGCACGAGAAAGAGTTTGGGCGTGTGTAAAAACGTATAGATGAAAACGTTCCGAAGATTTGCAGTGAATTCAAATAGGCCGATACCTCACAAAGGGCCTCAACTCACAGCACCTCTAGGCAGCTTTATGGATTTCTGGGGCCACCCCTACTATTTAGAGTCTTGATTAATGCATACCTCCAGAGGACTTCACGAATCGATGAAGCGACAAAAAAAATTTCGAAATGAGCGGGTTAAGACTCTTCCAAAGACGCTGTAACAAGGCGTTCATACCGCCTTAACCACGACGGTCAAAATTATGATAGTAGGATCCTTTGGTTAATAGTAAATTGTAAAGGTTGTCCGCTATCGACGTCACAAAACGTCTACTCACGACCAGATGGGATAGCAATTACGTAACGTACTAAGAGGGATCTGAATTGCAAAAAAAGTCGGATAGTATGGAAGACTTACACCAAATTGTTACATTTGTCACAATTTAAAAGGGAAATAGAAATAGAGCATTTGAAATTGAATAATATTAAATGACACCTGTCGAAAATAGCTGCTGAATCAAAGATTTTCCTGAAAACCCACCTTGTATGATTTGTACAACTCCCAAGCCCGAGAAACGTTAAACTTTCGAGCACGAAGGAAAAGCTTGGCTGTTTGGACTGCTTTTCCGGGTTCAAGGGTGGAGCCATATGGAGTGGTCCTGACGAGACTTAAGAACTCTTGTATTTTCTTGAAACAATGGTATAAAAAGAAAGGTCAACACTTTACGTACGGAATAATGTTTACTTAACGATGGAAATAAGTGTCAGTGTGGGTGATGATTAACCAACTTCTGAAACCTTTCAAATAGAATAATCTGGTGACGTATGACAACACAAACAATAAACTGCACGCTTAGTCTAGGTATTTTACTGAGTTCGTAACTTAGAGGTAGAGATAAAATATATGAGAAACACGGAAAAGTTCAAGTAAGCGGTGGCGTAAATACGAAACAATGCTTGTTAAAGTACGTATTAGAGTACAACATACAACACTTTTGGACGTGGTTGAAGTGACTGTTTTGTAAGGTCAAATACAGTGCATTTGAATAAAAGGAGAGTCAACTATCAAACACATTTTTATATATAAGTACCATAAAATTTCAACGTTTAGTGGTTTGTGGAGTGTGCAGGCTATGACAAGCAAATCGCTAGAATATACATCGTTCTTCTACAGGGCACTATTAAATAATGCTTGTAGTCAACAAGAGCAACTTGCCTGATTGCGTGCTTCATCGCGTTCCATTTAAATTGACTTAATAACATAAAAAATGTAGCTGTCAAGACGACATAGGTTTTAACCAAACATAAACGTAAATTTATTTAGAAGGCGCCATCCCCACAAATTCTTAATACCCACTTTCAGCAGCTCGGATCACGAAAATTGCAAAGACCACAAGCCCACACAGGGATTTAACGACCAGAGATGACCACAAAATAGAAAGGCATTGATCGATTAAAACCAATTTTTTGTGACCTTAAAGGTTGCATTATAATTTCCAATAATACAACCTTTCTGGTTTTTTTCACACACAATGATTTATAAAACTACTATCCTTCAGATGTTTCTTATCATATCACAGCTATACTAATGTAAGTGTTTAATGGTGCATACCTAAGGTGACCAGCACATAAAAATTGCATTGCCATAAAATAAAAAAAATATATGCTGGTCCCGTAAGTGTAAAGTTCGCTGGTACCGATCTAAAGATAGTGAAAAGAAGTGTCATTTAAATTTAATTTAGACTGCTTTAATTATCTAATATTTATTAAGTGAAAATAGGGTAGTTACCGAAAAGATTTTTTGTTAGAAATTGTTGCAAACCAGGGTATTTCAAGCGTTATCACCACAACAGTAAATTAAATCCATCGAAGGGCCGTTAGATGTGCGTACGCAGTAATTCAAATGGCCGTATCTAACTCGTAATTTTCCGAATTTAAATATGCAAATGTAAAATTTTCTGCGGATTATTCATTTGAGGTTATTAAGCATTTAATCGTGGATGAGTTTTTTTGTACTTTTTGACAATATAATTCCCTAGTGGGTTTGTGTGGTTAGGGCACCGATTCTTAATGTTCTGCAATTGAATGAACATAGGCTCATTGGTTCGATTTTTGGCAACAATCCTCTGTTTTTTCTTGAAAGCACAAGTAGAGGTGTCGCGAGTTAACAAATGCATCACTTTGGATGATTCACCTTGTTTTCATTACGTGATTAGCCTTGTCTATAAAATGCGCAGTAACCAGACAAACTATTCGATCGTTCTTATTAACAGTCTTTATTCCCAAATACAAAGAATATATGGTTGACAGAACAAACATAGCCTTTTCACTTAGAGGCAAGAATACTAATTGGGTGGTTTCCCTCATGTTTTCCAATTCAGTGTTAGTGTCCCAGTATCCAAATTGTTTGAATGATTTGGGTTAATTGCCCCAGATACTCAACTCCTCAGGCAAAAGTATATACCAGATTTTCTCGTGCAAAAAAATTATAGACAATTCATTGAATATTGTTAGATTTTGTACAATAGGCATGTACCAAGGGATTTTGGTGATTGAAAGCATAGACCTCAAGTAAGTCACAGTTGTTGCACTTCATAACTAATTCCCAAATGTTCCGTTCACAATGAGTTGAGGTGGATTGGCTCAGGTTTTAATTTTCCGAAAAAATGCTGATAACATGCGTGCTACTCACATTCCTGTCAACAGACAGTTTAACATTCTTAGTCCTTGGGCAAACATATCCCGTTTTGAGTGGAATTCAAATGACTTGAAACACGTGGGTTTAAATTGCCGTCGCAAGCTTGGCACAACAAATACTATCAATGAAATTTCCGAGTGCTGAAATGAGACTTCGGCGAAAATCCACTTGCGTTACCCATTTTCATCAAATAAGCCAACCGAATTAATGTATTATCTGAATTGATATAAAGGGTCAATGTTACTATCAGATAATTTCTGGCAGTGAGGCAAGTTAGGGTAAAATAAAGCGTTTGAAGACGGAAGAGTTATCTTTCAATGACCTACTCAAGTGCTTATAAAAATAATGAAGGTTTTGCTAGAATAAAAATTTTAATTTTTATTTTTCTACCTTACAACACTAACGTGTATGCAGACACCCAAAATTTTTTTAAAAGCGCTCATATTAGGACCTTGTAGACCATTAATCTAAATTCTTATGAAACTCAGAACAAACAATTCGGATTAATTCGAATCCCCTGACGTTTCTTAAGAAATAGCATATGAATTTGCTGAATGCGTTACCACCACATAAGAAGCAAAGTGGAAACCATCTGGCAGCGCCAGATTAGTGGCCAGTATAAAATCGGCTTTTTTTTCCTACTGTGTGTCCTAATACTTTAAGACAATACGCCTCTTCATAACTCGAAATGCGAATGCAGTAGTGAACCTCGCGCTTTGTTGAGGCAATCTCTATTTTGCAGAAGTTTGGGGCCAAGTCCATGAAGGTTTCTGCAAACAATCCGAATCTCTGTCTCAGCAACAAAGGTTTCAGAATTTGCGGGAATATTTTCCCGAAGTGTGATCATTCTGTGTCTTAT